TAGCCGCAGCGCTCGGCCCAGAAAGTATCTTAACCTAACCTAAACCTAAATAACAAAAAAATAAATAATAATGAATTTGCTGAAAAATAAATGGTCATGTACAAAATTGATAGGAGGGGGGGGGGGTCCAAAAATCGTATACTAGGACAGACCCTACAGGTCTTTACAGATTAGATTTCCCACAAATCCTTAAACTCTCTCTTTCCAACTTTTATTGAGCAAAACATTACAAATATTTATAACGTAAATATACGAGTGTTAAAAACTAAACAAATAAACTTGAAAGCTAATAGATATATGTTCAAACCAGCTCTGAATAGATTAAAACTTCGCGCCTGAATATAGAAGAATATGCACATTTTGAATGTTAAAATTATGTTTCAGAACTTTGATCTGATATAAAATGTAAATCTAAGAATATGATGAATAAAGTTTAAATGCCAACTCTACTAAATAGGTAATTACGATATTTACTCTTTTTGCTCTAAAACTGTAAAAGCAATTTAAATTCACTACCCATTTATTATTCTACAATGAATTTTTATAATTCCCTAATAAACGATTTATAGACCCCCAAATAATCCAAAAATCGTATTCTAGGACGGACCCTTAAATTTTATTGTTTATGTCAATACACAAGTAAAATAAATTTAAGGAGTACACGCCACGGCACCCAGCCCACTAGCCTGTCTTAGCCTTAGCGCTGGGCCCAGATCAGAAATTGTCTTAACCTAACCCAACCCTAGAATTATGTTAAGTGAAATGAATGGGTTNTCCAAAAATATTTGACAATACTCTTGGCAAATGATAGAGGAAATCAAATCAGTTAAACAAATTAGAACCAGTTTTTTCCACTTAAAAGTTGCTAAATTTTTATTTTTTAATTTTTAGATTTTTTTGACCAAATGACAATCCAAGGTGAGAGGATGGGTGAGCAACCAATATTCACGTGTAAAGCACATGTCTTTCATATTGATCCAAAAACTAAAAGGTAATTCAAAGGAATTTAATTATTTAGGAGAAATAAATAAGATTAAATTACATAGATAATTATGAGGAAATTTAATGAGAGATAAAGGAATTGAATTGAAGGATAAATAAAGAAGAATAAATTCAAGGAGAGTTAAATAAGATTAATTTAATGGAGAAATAAATAAGATTAAATTAAAGAAGAAATAAATAAGATTAAATTAAAGGAGAAATAAATAAGATTAAATTAAAGGAGAAATAAATAAGATTAAATTAATGGAGAAATAAATAATATTAAATTAAAGAAGAAATAAATAAGATTTAATTAAAGGAGAAATAAATAAGATTAAATTAAAGGAGAAATAAATAAGATTAAATTAAAGAAGAAATAAATAAGATTAAATTAATGGAGAAATAAATAAGATTAAATTAAAGAAGAAATAAATAAGATTAAATTAAAGGAGAAATAAATAAGATTAAATTAATGGAGAAATAAATAATATTAAATTAAAGAAGAAATAAATAAGATTAAAATTAAGAAGAAATAAATTAAAGCATGTCAAAGGAATGATAAATATGATTAAGGGAATCTAACCAGCTTTGCCTATCAAAGTAGACTCACTCAATTTAGAATTTTTAAACCAAGTCAAGAACATTCCCATAGGTCGACCTAGATTCCCAAGCAAATTGGTCTCAAGGTTTACGAGTTATGATCGGACATACAAATAAACAAACTATGATTACTACTTTATATATAGAGAAGATCAAGTTTGAAAAGAAAACATATTTTACAAGTAAAATTTTCAAAATACTTTGCAGATTAGTAATTACTGTATTTTCCAACAGAATAATTAATTTTCCCCAATTAAGCAAATAAAACCATAAAAAAGTTTCTGCTCTGCGGTAACATACATAATATTTTGGGAAAAAAATAATTTCCAAAAGGGAGGGGGGAGGGTGATTTTAAATGAAAATATACAGTACACCCTTACTATCTTCAGATCTTGGATCCCGGCTTCTAATGCAGCAGTTGCGGTTTCATTCTTCTATGATTCTTCAAGAGCACTGTACAGGTAATTATCATTTTCTTAAATGTTGTAAATCTTATTTCGGGCCGGGTAATATGTTGGATAGGGATTTAATTCTTAGTTTTTCATGTTATAAATTTTTTTTGTTAATTCTTAAATGTACATCAACATGTCGTGGAATATTAAATGGAGGTATTCTCACAAAACCTCATCTATGCATATACTTTGCTTATTTGTTGATTTGTTGCATCCAATAAATGTCAAAACAGCCAAACCGATCTGGCCCGTAATTTTTGTGGGACCTGACATGGCCCAAAGAATATTATTATTTATGGGTGGTTAGTATTTAAAAAAATGCCTTGTAAAAAATCCGATTTTCAACATCCACGACAAATATCCATCAATCCATGAAATTATTTTTATTGTTAGATAATTTAAGAAGTGAAAATGCCGCAGATAGAGTAAAAATGTTAAAATTGAAGATGGGTGCGAAGCGCCTTGAAAGTTTAGTTGTTTTATATTTCTATATTTAGGATTATATCTGTGGAAGGAACAAAAGCGGTAATTAACTCCACAATTACACCAAACATGACGTTCACCAAGACAAGTCAGAAATTTGGCCAGTGGTCAGATGTCAGGTGGGTTTTTAAGAGTTTTAATGGTAGAATATTTTATAGAACGCCCCCCATTAAAATAAAATCATAAAATAAACGGATATTTATCCCCCCCCCCCCACAAATACAATACTACTCAAACAAACAGAACCCCCAATAGTGAAAATAGAAAAACCAAAAAACATTGATATGATATGCTAATTCAGGGGAAAATTGTTCCAAAACTAACACTTGATCCATTTCTAACACTTGTTAGAAATGGGTCAAATCTGCAAAATTATCTTTTTCAAGTATATATATCTTTAAATACAAGCCGAGTGAAACAAGACTTACGCCATACAGAAATGGCTAAAACTGTTTATTTAAACTAATAATAAGGTGTTAAAATTAGTTTTTGATGATTCTTATTTTCATATTCGAACATATCCCTATTTTAAAACAATTAGTGCATTTCAGCTTACGTCGTGGTTTTTTAAACATATCCTGGTTTTGAGGCAATTACTCTAATTTATATCAAGGTACTAATGCAAGGAAAGTTTCAGAGGTGTACGCATTTTTTGTTCTGCAGTGTCCTGTCTTTGGGCGGAAAAGTAAACTCAGGACGGATGTCACAGCCTGACATGGAATCCATTTTCACAAAAATAATCTATGAACTATTTTGGTCATCGGAAGCTATTATGTGGATTTTCAAAAATATCAAAATTAAATGCTTTTAACCTCCTCGGATAATAAACGAACACCGATGCATCTTTTCTTGTTAACAAAGTCCGCCCAGAGAGAACTGGTTTTAATATGTAACCAGAGTATACGCGACCGCTATTAACTTTCCTTGCATTAGTTCCTTGATTCATATCAATGTCAATTTTCAAGCATCTACGCACTACGCAGTTAACTAACAAAAAAAGATTTTTTTGATAAGGTAAAATATAAACAAAATAGAAATTAAAAACATTTTGCTCTTTTGTTATTAAAAAAAACATAACGGCATTGAGAAATCAAAATCTTTATTTTGTTCTTGCAATGTAGATTTAACTAGAAATGCTGGAAATTAATAGTTTAAAATGTAGTAAACTAAATCAACTTTATTCTCTTATTTAACAAATAAAATTTGAAAACTTAGATTTTAAATATAATCCAGGAGTTAATTTAGGCTTGATAAGATAATTTTTATTCAGTGATTTATTTTGTAAGTTATAAAAATGAGTTTTGTTTTGAATTGCGGATTATACTCAAAAACGGAAAAGTGTGTTTTGTCTCGAAAACGTGACAATGATTCAAATTCAAGATAGGTTCTAAAACGTGAAACCTAACACTGTCTTGAAAACGGTTAAGGGTTTTAATATAAAAAGAACTCCTTTTATAATTTTTATTTCAGAAAAAAAGTTTAAAAATCGGAATTGTTGTCCTTGTGATGCTTAATAAGATGTTCGTTTTATTAGTTTTTATTACCGACTTTTTCTCTCAATATGGGCCTGTTTCCTTAAACCCCTGTCTTTCAATTTGTGCCCATTTCTCAGTGTTTGTAATGGGCCAAGTGTCAGTTTTGGAACCAATGTCCCATGTAATTACACATTTTGATATTATTGTACTTGCTTGTTTGACATGAATGGTTGACCGACATAATCGGAAGATCAAGGGGGGGGGGGGAGTGAGAATAAATCAAATATTTTATTTTAATTTGTATTGCAGAGCGAATACAGTATACGGACTAGGGTTCTCCTCTGAGGCAGAGCTAAACAAATTTATTGAAAAGTTTGCAGAGGTTAAAGATGCCACCCGGGCAGGTAAACAATTTTTATGCTCATGTTCAATGTTCATGTCTTTGTTTTATTTATTTTTTTGTTATTGTTCTTATTGTTGTTTTTCTTGTTCTTCTTGCTGTTCTTGAGGTTCTTGTTCTTCTTGTTGTTCTCGTTGTTCTTCTTGTTCTTCTTGTTCTACTTGTTCTTCTTGTTCTTTTTCTTCTTTTTCTTCTTGTTCTCCTTGTTCTCGTTGGTCTTCTTGTTCTTCTTGTTTTCCATGTTCTTCTTGTTCTTGTTCTCCTTGTTCTTCTTGTTCTTCTTGTTCTTCTTGTTCATCTTGTTCTTCTTGTTCTTCTTGTTATTATTGTTATTATTCTTCTTCTTTTTCTTCTTGTTATTCTTGTTCTTGTTCTTCTTGTTCTTTTTCTTTTTTTCTTCTCCTTTTTCTTTTTTTTCTCGTCTTTCTCTGCTTTTTTTCCCTTTTTTTCTTGTTCTTCATCTTCTTTTAGTCTTTTGTTGTTCTTAAGTTATTGACACTTTTCTAATATATCATATTCTGTTTTTAGTTTCACATTTTCATCTTTGTGACTTGTATCATTATTTAAATCCTTGATGTCTGTTCAGGAAAAGCCAATGGTAGTGGAACCACCCCGACAACGAGTGCCAATGCTAGCCCTGTAACCGCAAGATCAGGTGAGTGCCCACAGCGTTTAATTGTAAAATATAACAGAAAAGCCCCACAAGCACCAATGAAACAATTCTAAATTTTATTTAAGTCATTTCTATTTCTATTTCTATTTCTATTTTTATTTCTATTTCTATTTCTATTTCTATTAGGAATCAAACATACATAAGAACAAATAATTGTAAATAATAATATTTTATTCCCACTCATAATAGAAATATATATTTATAATGATCATATTTAAGGCAAAGAATACAACGACAACTTGGAACACATTCCTCCAAATCAAAATGATGCGGTCAACTCAAACCTTCTTAAATCCCAGCTAACTATAGGTAGGTCAACTCGAACCTTCTTAAATCCCAGCTAACTATAGGTAGGTCAACTCGAACCTTCTTAAATCCCAGCTAACCATAGGTAGGTCAACTCAAACCTTCTTAAATCCCAGCTAACTATAGGTTGGTCAACTCAAACCTTCTTAAATCCCAGCTAACTATAGGTAGGTCAACTCGAACCTTCTTAAATCCCAGCTAACCATAGGTAAGTCAACTCAAACCTTCTTAAATCCCAGCTAACTATAGGTAGGTCAACTCGAACCTTCTTAAATCCCAGCTATAGATTTGATCGTAACAACCCGATCATGTCCTGGGGACAAAAAAATCTCTTTTAAAAAGATTACATGATGCATCGATTGTCAATTGTTATTTATTAATTTATTGGACAGACGATTGATTGATTGATTGATTGCTTTAGGTTCTGACAGTCCAAAGAAAGCTGGTCTGCCTGACAAGGTCCCTGCCCCGGCTTTAAACGGTGATGCTCAGCTCAAATATGAGAATGACCGGCTTAAGCTCGCGCTAGCTCAGAGCTCTGCTAATGCAAAGGTACTCACAAAGGTTTAATTGAACAACAATTTCCTTTCTCAACCCTCAACAATCATTTTCCCTAAATCTAGCGCGTTTTTGAGGTTCTTAAGGTCGAAATAGAACGTGTTAAGAAAAATAGATTGTTTTTGTGTTAAGGGGTTTCTATAAAGATTAAAAAAAAATAAAAATATGAGTCACATTTTCCATTTTCTTTACTATAAAGTATGTACCAATTTGTCATCAGGATTTCTTCTATTTTTTCTCAGAAAACCCTTAAATCTTCTTTTCAACGAATTTTGGTTAACAATATCGCGTTTTTTAACACTTCCTCTTAAGTTGCATCTTCTCTAATTAAATTAGTGAAGATTTGTAAGAAAACCCAATTGAACTTGGTGGGAAACCAATCTAAACTTTCTTTCTCGAAGTTTTTCTTATTTAAACCTTTCTGTTTTAGTTAATTTTCTTCTTTGTTGAAGTTTGATGAATCTTATTACATTGTAGAAGTGGGAGGTAGAACTATTGACTCTGAAGAACAACAACGCCAGGTTGACCAGCGCGCTGCAGGAGTCAACCTCGAATGTGGAGGAATGGAAACGCCAACTTCATTCATACAAGGTTTTAAATATAAATATAACATTATTCTTGAAATTGAAATGAATTAGTCCACAAATGTATGGTAGATTGATAGATCAATTGATTAGACATTTCACTGACAGAAAACACGATTGATTAATAAACGACTAATTGAAACGATGATGTACTCGTTCATTGATTAAGCGATTGATTGATTGATGCCGCGATTGATTAATGCGACAATTTATTGATTGATACAGCGATCAGTTGATAAAAGGATTGTTAAATGGAAAGAAGTATTGATTGATTGGTTGAAAGGACGGTTGATTAATTGATTCAACGATTGTTTAAGGAGTAATAATCCTTTTTGTATTCAATCAAATAAAATGAATTAATACATTTTTGACAGTTTCAAACTAGGATTGTACCGAGATGGACTATCCTAGGTGGCTGTTAGTGCCGGCGGTCTGGGGGGTTCATAACGGGGCCTCTTTTTCAGATTTCATTTCAAATAAGTTCAAATTAGTTGGGCGGTGACGTATGTCATTAATCTGTACTTCGACAGTTGGCCACACTAGACAAGCGTCGTAACCAATGGGTGCATTAATAACTGTTGTGGCTATTTTTGCTGATGTCTCAGCCCTCAATACTACGCAATGATGGTTGATCGCTTGTTTGTTTGTTTGTTTGGTTATTTGATTGATTAATTGATTTGTCGGTTGCTTGATTGATTGATTTCTCTAGGAGGAGAATGCCAGGCTAAAAATGAATCTGCTTGAAGCTGAGGCCGGGAGAGGAAACTGTGATTACGATGCAGTTGGGGAGCTTAGAGAGCTCAGGGCACATTTCGAGGTTAGTTTTGCTACTAAGGGTGCTCAGGGCCCATTTTGAATTTATTTTTATTCAATACAGGGTGCTCAGGGTCCATTTTGAATCTAGTTTTTCAATCAATGGTGCTCAAGGGTATTTTAAATTTATGGAGTCAAGGGTGTTCAGGGCCCATTTGTTCATTTCTTGGTTAGATGTTGAGTTAAAGTGAGGTTGGTATTGGAGTTCAGGGTGCAGTGGTAACTGTTCAGTTCAGGGCCCATTTGTGATTAGTTTTCAAATAAAGTAAAAGCAGTTAATTTCTGAGTTAGTAATGGAGTTAAATTGTTCATTTAGGGGAATTCAGGGGACTTTTTAAAGGTTAATTTTGGAACTAAGGGTCACAAAATATGGTCCAGCTTTTTTATCTTTAATAATTTATTTTGGATAAGGGGTGTGGGCACAAGCTCACGCATACAAATAAAACAATTTATCAATAAATCTATTTCCAGTTTGTAATCAAAGTCTTTCTATTAATTTGTCTTGCTCAAGATTAGTTAAAAGTCATGTACTTCAACGTTTTGTGTTGCGCCGTTGTCTTGAAAACTCGAGTGGTCCAGCTTTTAATATAGTGTATATCATGTTTATTTATTTTAAATTTTTAAATTTTCTATTTCAATTGTAAACATTTTCTCTTAGTAAACCTTGTAAAACATAAACAAAGAAAAGTTTACGAATTATATACCAAAAAAATTCTTGGCTTTTCAAAATTTATTGAAAATTGAATTTTGTTGGATGCTAATTTTTGAAACTTTGATCATCCATAAACCTTCCCTAGAGTCATGTGAGGCCCCATACAAAATGTGGGCCCGATCGGTTCAGCCGTTTGGGCGTTTATTGGAAACAGACAGACAGATTTCATTTCCTTATGATTCCTTATGATATGTATATATAGATTTGATAATAATAACTTGCTATCAAGGATGTTGAACGCGAACTAGGAGAGAAGAACGAAGAAATTAGAAAACTAAAGACGGAGGGTGGAGGAGGATCTAAACTAGATCTAGAGGAGATTAAGTCTCTCCAGGTAGGATCATGAAGCTAAGGAAGGGTCTAAGCCAGATCTAGAGGAGATTAAATCTCTCCAGGTAGGATCATGAAGCTAAGGAAGGGTCTAAACCAGATCTAGAGGAGATTAAATCTCTCCAAGTAGGATCAGGAAGCTAAGGAATGGTCTAAGCCAGATCTAGAGGGGATTAAATCTCTCCAGGTAGGATCAGGAAGCTAAGGAAGGGTCTAAACCAGATCTAGAGGGGATTAAATCTCTCCAGGTAGGATCATGAAGCTAAGGAAAAGTCTAAACCAGATCTAGAGGATATTGAATCTCTCCAGGGTGGATCAGGAAGCTAAGGAAGGGTCTAAGCCAGATCTAGAGGAGATTAAATTTCTCCAAGTACGGTCATGAAGCTATGGAAGGGTCTAAACGAGATCTAGAGGGGATTAAATCTCTCCAGGTAGGATCATGAAGCTAAGGAAGGGTCTAAACCAGATCTAGAGGATATTGAATCTCTCCAGGGGGGATCAGGAAGCTAAGGAAGGGTCTAAGCCAGATCTAGAGGGGATTAAATCTCTCCAGGTAGGATCATGAAGCTAAGGAAGAGTCTAAGCCAGATTTAGAGGATATTAAATTTCTCCAAGTACGATCATGAAGCTATGGAAGGGTCTAAACGAGATCTAGAGGAGATTAAATCTCTCCAGGTAGGATCATGAAGCTAAGGAAGGGTCTAAACCAGATCTAAAGGAGATTAAATCTCTCCAGGTAGGATCAGGAAGCTAAGGAATGGTCTAAGCCAGATCTTGAGGGGATTAAATCGCTGCAGGTAGGATCAGGAAGCTAAGGAAGGGTCTAAGCCAGATCTAAAGGAGAATAAATCTCTCCAGGTAGGATCAGGAAGCTAAGGGATGGTCTAAACCAGATCTAGAGGAAATTTTATCTCACCAGTTAGGATCAAGAAGCTAAGGAAGGGTCTAAACTAGATCTAGAGGATTAAAGCTTTCCAGGTAGGATCAGGAAGTTAATGAAGGTGGAGGATATAAACCAATTTGCTAATTTACAAAGAAAATTATATTTTTTTTTTTCAAATTATTTTGGAGGTCAAATATGTAGAAGAAGACAAATTGACACCATTTTTCATTTAATTTCATGGTTTTGTTTTAGGTGGAGAACGAGAGTTTGAAACTAACCTTGGATAAAACTCAATCCCAGTTAGATACATCACTTGATGCTCAGGTGATTGGGGAGACTAGATAATATTAGCTTTTTGTCGGGGGGACAATATGATAAAAAACTAAATTCAAAAATTTGGTTTTTGTAGCAAAACCTCAGCAGAAATATAGAGAACAGTAATTTTATTTGTTGACTAAGAACTATACAGAAGATGGTTGAAGCTCTCTGAAATATAGATACTTTCCAAGACTATCTATCTATCTTAACCTAGCCTGACCTGGAATAGTATAATCACGGGAGCTGTATATATTTGAGGAGGAGGGGGGGGGGGGAGAACTATGAAAGAATTGGGCCTTAAATGGATTGTTATTTATATTTAACCAGTGCTTAGGATTTGGATCTGTTAGATTTGCAATATTTTAGCTTTCTTGATCCGGATCCGGATCCACGGGGGAAAACATCAACAAAAACCGTTAAAAAAGTCTGTTAACACTCCAACACCAAATCTGAACCGTTGAAAAATTAAAGATAATTTACAATTTCCAAGATCTGGATAATTTGAATAATTATTTAGGATCAGCAGCGGAAGGTTCTGGAAGCGATAAATCGTCAATTCGGCGATTATGTTCATCATCTGGGAGAATTGCAGAACGAACTGACCCAGGTGTTAAACACCTAGACTACACTAAGCCACCAGGAGGAGCTAATGAACTAGGATTCCAAATTTCCAAAATGTCGGGGTTAGTTTGAGAACGAACAGGGGGTATATATTTTCAATACAAATCACTTCTCCCCGTTTCTAAAAATCTTTTTGGACTTTTTTCAAATTGTATTTAAAATTTTGTTTTACTCTCGAAATCTACAAATTCATATCCGAGAAAGGGGGAGGGGGCTTAAAAATATATCGTTCTCAAGTTTATTTTGACAAGATTGCCATGTGTCTTGTTCAAAATTTATCCCATAATTTTTGGAGAAGAGGAAAAAATACTTCTAATTTAGTTTTTTTAATTCTTATCATTCCTGATAAAATTTATTTGGCGACAAATTCTGTCGAAATTTTTTTAAAGTTCCTTTTTTTACTGCTTATCCTAGTTGATATTAATGTAACCATCATTTAACTTTTCTGATATTGCGGAATCTCTTTTAATGATATTTATAGATTTTTATACCCCATAAACCTCATTCATTAACCTACTGTTGTCTATATTTAAAAATATTTATAAATAAGAGGGCGTTAAAAAAAGGAAAATGTATTTCCGACAAAAAATACTTTAATATTTGAAAATTTTTAATTAAAAATTGTTAATAACAAACCAGTGACTTGCGAGGAGTCTTATTGAATAGTTTAACATTAAACGTATCACATTGGATTTTAGATTTATATTTGTTTTTCTGAATATGGTAGAGCAGAGAATACAATTCAATGTTAAAACCAATGTGATTTTTCTGACCCTGTAAAACACCCTTGTTTTCATTGGACAATGGACACCCTGGATTAATGACATAAACTCTTAATAAGCTTTATATTTATCATCCTATAAAAGAATCTCACTATTTATTATTTCTAAGAACTTCTATTTATTTATTAAATCTTGCTTTATTATTTCTTTTTCTTGTCTAAATAATCTTCCAGTTTTCAAGTGCGGGGGAAATCCCTCTGGGTAAATTATCTACCCCCCCCCCCTCGCCTTGGTCGATAGCTAAGGTACTAATAAAATCAAAATATTTATAATTGTTTTTAACGGTTCAGTAAAACGTATTGATATTGTAACAAATAAAATTACACTTTTTGTGAAACCAAAAATACAGATCTAAGCTCGTAGACCTTCTACAATAAATTTAAAGTGACTGCAATCATAATTTCAAGTGACCCTCTCTGTAAAGGTGGAAATTCTCTGTTAATAACGGTTCTCTTTGTTTGAATTAGACATTAATGTGTTTGTTCTTTTAAACTGTTAATTTCGTTTATGTTCTCTGCAAAACGAACTTGCGCATTTCTTGCTACAAGAAATACTGGAGAATTTATAAGAATTAAAAGACTTTTCGAGCTAGAAAAACGACGTTATATTTTACATCATTGACGAGATTGAATTATCAAGGGTACCGATGTTAATCGGTCATTGCCATCTTCGCATGAAGTCATTTAAAATTATGTTTACACTCCCTTTAAACTCAATCATAATTTAGAACTAATAATCTTTTATAACTTATTAGAAACAAGATTAAAGAGACAGTTAAGAAGAATCTAGAAAATTAATCAAAATGGTTCGCGCAATAGATGTACAGTACACATGGTTTTTGTTAGTGTGTACAGTGTATATGTACATATTACACAAGGTACGTAATGTACAAGAAACATATTTTTTCGACAAAAAAGCAAGATTTTATCCGAATGTCGTTTCTTTTTTAAATGATTTTAAACTAACAATAATTTTTCTAGATTCTTCAGCAATTTGATGGGATATATACAGTCCTATTCTAAATAACCCAGAATAATATAAGTTTATTAATGAATTCATAAATAGTATCGACATTAAAATATAGGTAACCTGATTTTAGCAATATTTTTAATGAAACATGAATCACAAAATAGCCCTAATCCTGCCATGTTTTTGCTCTAAAAAATAAAAAGATTTTGTTTAAATTTCAATTTATTTAAAATCGTTCTGAAGAAAATCATATCTCTGATATTTTGGAAATGGCAGGACTAGGATTATTGTAAAAAATATGCCGGTTACCTTTAATTAATGCCGCAAGATATTTCTAAGGTCAAAGACGACCTTGAAGTTATCAATTGATCAATTTATATTAGTCCGGGTTATTTAGAATAGAATTCAGGATTATAATTTATAATTTGTAAATAAATCTAGACTTGTCTTAACATGAGATGTATTCAGTATTGTATGTTATATGTATGTAACTAACTAAACCAAAACCTATGTTCTGAAAATATTATGACGAAAAGTATTAATTTACTAAAAATAAGGCCTAAACTTTAGTGAAAGGGCAATTTTTTTAAAAAAAACTTCATTTAATGAAAATAACTAAGGTTTAAAAATTGTAAAGTTTTCTTAAATATGTTTTTTCTTTGAATAATCTACTTTAAAAAATAATTATAAATCACAGTAAAGAAATGAATTTTTGATGTTGAAAGCAAAATTAGGCGACTGTTAACCCCATATTGGAATACAATTTGTTAAGTAATTATGTTTTGTAGTGTATTGTTATATATTTACATTCCTGAAATAAATGTCTTAAATTTGAATTTATCTATTATTTTTCCTAGTTTTAAAAAAAAAATTGAAATTGAAAGGACGTATGAGAATAAGTATTATGAACCTAAAGTCCCTATGTTTAGGTTTTTTATTGTTTTTTCAGATAAAAATGAGCGATACTACAATTAGACTTATCGATCAGCTCAGAGAATCTGCTAATGAGGTAATCTTGTACATTAGAGGGACTGTAAGCGTAATTTAAAGTCACCCTCCTCGTCTATGAAAACGGTGCTTAGGATTAGTTTTGATGCGGATCCGGATCCTGGATCCGCACTGGAAAAAATAGATTCGGATCCAGGTCATTTCTTTAAGATTTACTGAATTTTTTTAACAAAAAATAATTTTAACATTTTTTTCGCTTATTTTTATCCTAAAACTTAATGAACCATTCAGAAATGAAGAAATTTTTATATTCTAACTTTTTTCGAAAGTTTGGATTTGGGATTTAGGAGTAAAAAAGTTTTTTTTTGACAAGTCATTAAATAAACTATTAAAAGATTATATGTTGATGCGGAGACTTAATTTAAGCAAATGTTCTTTTTGCAAACTTATTGAAAATTTGATGGGATTTCAAAATCTATCAAAGTTTGACTTAGGTCAAAAAATATAAGTTTAAGAGCGTGTTAAGTAACACAAAATTAGACTTTTGTAGTACACTATAAATAGACCAACATTTTTGAAATGGCCAAAACCACCACAAAAAAAAATAAAAATAAAATTCATGAAATGAGTCTCTGGCAGTGCTTAGGGTCCATCAGCAACATTTTGGCTTCCTGGATCTGGATCCGCAAAATATGCAAATCCACTGATATTTTGCTCTCAAAACCCAAATCTGAACTGTTGAAAAAAAAGAAATTATTAACAATTTTCTTATCTCTTTATGGTTAATCAAGTTTACGTATACAAATAACCGAAAAAAAAGAAGAAAACAAATTAAAAAAATTTTCTTTTCTTCAGAAAATCAGCAGATCTTAAAGAAATGTTCATGACCCGGATCCGGATCCATTTTGTCCAGTGGGGATCCTCAATCCGATCCGCATCAAAATGATATCAATACTAGCTCTCGTTCTTTGTGGGTACTGTACTGGGTAACCCTGTAAAAATAACTTAAAATAAAACGCTGATTGTTTGATAGAGTTGGAGGGGAAGGAGAGAATGGTTAACTATAAAATCTATATCTACATATAAATTTAGCTTGTCTGGGTGTCTGTTTATCTGTTTGTTTGTATCCAATAAACGCCAAAACGGCGCGGCTGAACGGATCAGGCCCAAATTTTGTGTGGGATCTCACGTGGCCCCAGGGAAGGTTTATAAAGGATCAAAAATTTTGTGTTAAAAGGATTTTTAGTTTGTAATATTTTGAAATTGCGCAAAAAAAATATTAAAAAATGCGCTAACTTTTTTTGGTTTTTGTTTTTAAAGAGTAGATGCTGACACACAAAGCCACAATTAAAAGTTGAAAAAGAAGATGTTCGCGAAGCGCCCTTAAAGCCTAGTCTATATATAAATTTAGCTTGTCTGTCTGTTTGTTTGTTTGTATCCAATAAACGTCAAAACGGCTGAACCGATCGGGCCCACATTTTTTGTGGGAGATCACGTGACCCTAGGCAAGGTATATGAATGATCAAAATTTTAAAAATTTGTGTTGTGAAGGAGGGGTGGATGGGGAGGAGAGAGAATGGTTAACTATATATATATATATATATATATATTTATATATAAATATGTATTCTCTTTTTCCATCTCCGATCATAATTGAGGAACCCCTCGACGGAGTTGCAACACATTTTGCTTGGGTAACTCGGAAGAACCACGGGAATGTTTTTAGTTTACTTTGGGATTGGAAGTCAAGTTATATTTATATATTTTCTAGGTGTTTGATAGAGTTGGAGGTGGGGTGGAGGGGGAGGAGAGAGAATGGTTAACCGGGCTACAGAAGAAAATGGAAACTGTCTCCGCTAACATAAAGGATATTGAGACTGCAGCATCACAGTTCAACGGACCTACGGTAAACTCATACTTAAAAGTAAACTTGAGGTAAATATACATTGCCAAGGACTTTTTGGTAAACATACTGTACAGTGGATCTATGGTAAACCTTCATAAAGTTTAACTGACCTACGCAAACTTAAACAAAGTGTTCAAGGGACCTACGGTAGAAAAAATTCAACAGACCTTTAACGAGCTCAACTACCCTTCGATGAAAGTACTGTTCATAATGACCAAATATTCAGTTCAACAGACCTACAATTGATTGATTGACTGACTGACTGACTGACTGACTGACTGACTGACTGACTGACTGACTGACTGACTGACTGACTGACTGACTGACTGACTGACTGACTGATTTATTGATTGTTTTGAAAACATTAATGGTTGATTACCTTCACGCAGACTCCTCAATAAAATCCTTTGATTAAATTGATTGATTGAGTGACTGATTGATTGATTGATAAATTGTTTAGAACACACTATTCACCAGAATCTATTAATTGTTTGACTGTTTGATTGATTATTTGATGATTGATTGATTAATTGAGTGATTGATTGTCTAGAATACACTAATGGTTGGTAACCTTGACGCCGACTCCTCAGTAGAATCCTTTGCCCTCTACACAGATATCACAAGAAGCCATAGATGGTTAGATAAGGTTAGAACCTTTTCAATAGATGGTTAGATAAGGTTAGAACCTTTTCAATAGATGGTTAGATAAGGTTAGAACCTGTTCAATAGATGGTTAGATAAGTTTAGAACCTTTTCAATAGATGGTTTGACAAGGTTAGAACCTTTTAATAGATGGTTAGATAAGGTTAGAACCTTTTAATAGATGGTTAGATAAGGTTAGAACCTTTTCAATAGATGGTTTGACAAGGTTAGAACCTTTTAATAGATGGTTAGATAAGGTTAGAACCTTTTAATAGATGGTTAGATAAGGTTAGAACCTGTTCAATAGATGGTTAGATAAGTTTAGAACCTTTTCAATAGATGGTTTGACAAGGTTAGAACCTTTTAATAGATGGTTAGATAAGGTTAGAACCTTTTAATAGATGGTTAGATAAGGTTAGAACCTTTTCAATAGATGGTTTGACAAGGTTAGAACCTTTTAATAGATGGTTAGATAAGGTTAGAACCTTTTCAATAGATGGTTAGATAAGGTTAGAACCTTTTAGTAGATGGATACATAAGGTTAGAACCTGTTCAATATATGGTTAGATAAGGTTAGAACCTTTTCAATAGATGGTTAGATAAGGTTAGAAGCTGTTCAACAGATGGTTAGATAAGGTTAGAACCTTTTAATAGATGGTTTGACAAGGTTAGAACCTTTTAATAGATGGTTAGATAAGTTTAGAACCTTTTAATAGATGGTTAGATAAGGTTAGAACCTTTTAATAGATGGTTAGATAAGGTTTGAACCTTTTAATAGATGGTTAGATAAGTTTAGAACCTTTTAATAGATAGTTAGATAAGGTTAGAACCTTTTAATAGATGGTTAGATAAGGTTAGAACCTGTTCAATAGATGGTTAGATAAGGTTAGAACCTTTTCAATAGATGGTTAGATAAGGTTAGAACCTGTTCAATAGATGGTTAGATAAGTTTAGAACCTGTTCAATAGATGGTTAGATAAGGTTAGAACCTTTTAATAGATGGTTAGATAAGGTTAGAACCATTTTAATAAGCATTTAATGCGAAGTCTCATGAATATTTGTCTGCGTATACTCATAAATATTTCTCTGCATAGACCCATCAATATTTGTCTGTGTAGACTAATGAATATTTGTCAGCGTACACTTATGAGTTTTTAATTGTGTAGTTTTATGAATATTTGTCTGTGTAGACTCATGAATATTTGTCTGCGTAGACTAATCAATAGTTGTCTGTGTAGACTCATGAATATTTGTCTGCGTAGACCCATCAATAGTTGTCTGTGTAGACTCATGAATATTTGTCTGCGTAGACTCATGAATATTTGTCTGCGTAGACTCATGAATATTTGTCTGTGTAGACCCATGAATATTTGTCTGCGTAGTCTCATGAATATTTGTCTGCGTAGACCCATCAATATTTGTCTGTGTTGTCTCTTGAATATTTGTCTGCGTAGACCCATCAATATTTGTCTGAGTAGATTCATGAATATTTGTCTGCGTAGACCAATCAATATTATTCTGCGTAGACTCATGAATATGCTGGGGCTGCTGCAGCATATCTAAGTGGAAACACACTCAAAAGATCGTACTCATCTGTTGCTAAATCCAGGTAGACATTTTAAATTATAGTCATAAAAAGAAAACTCCGGAATTAATTAAGCGACTCTACGTTTTTATCTCTGGCAATATTAATTGTTTAAAAAGGCAGACCACAATTTGGAAATGGTAGGACTAGGGCTATTATGTGTTTATCGTTTCATCAATTATATTTCAAAATAGAGTACAAAGTTGACGAATAATTATAAATTATTAGGACTGTATGATTTTTCTAGTTAAAACTTTTTTTTGAGGTTTATATGATACTTGAAAAAAATTAACTTTAAAGAATAATATTACTTTAAACAAAGTGTTGACTTAGTCATAAGGCAAAATTCTGATAATTAATCAATGAAGGAAAGAATCCCATGTTTATTTTATAATTCAAACACTTCAATAAAATGTATTTTTATCATGCCCCAGAGTTTCTTGAGATTTACCCAGTGCTTAGAACCTATTTGAACCGGATTTACCGAGTTTTTAACAAACAAAAATCATGAATTAGAAAGTTTTTAATAAACTCTCATAAATTTACAGTTGAGATTTGTTTTTTGAGCAGCATGTTTATTTTTCTTTTAGCAGGTGTTTGTTGATACTTTGACACTTTTAGCAGGTGTTGGTAGATACTTTGACACTTTTAGCAGGTGTTGGTTGATACTTTGACACTTTTAGCAGGTGTTGGTTGATACTTTTAGCAGGGGTTGGTTGATACTTTGACCCTTTTCGGCGGATCTTAATCCAGGTTTACCGAAATGTTGCGGATCCAACGAATCTCGAATTTTTTTATTGTTTAGGCGAAAACCTCAAACTAACAGTCATATTGCTCAGCCCATGCATCTAAACAGACTGATTGATGGAGTCAATAAAATGTTCCAGGATATGAAACTCATTATCAGGTTCCTTTCTCATCTTCTTACACATTGTGATTATAATTTTAATAATATTCATTATCAGGTTCCTTTCTCATCTTCTTACACATTGTGATTATTATTTTAATAATATTCATTATCAGGTTCCTTTCTCATCTTCTTCCACATTGTGATTATTATTTTAATAATATTCATTATCGGGTTCCTTTCTCATCTTCTTCCACATTGTGATTATTATTTTAATAATATTCATTATCGGGTTCCTTTCTCATCTTCTTACACATTGTTATTAGTTATTAGTATTACTGTTTGAATTATTATTTTGCTGTTTTTAATGTCATTGTCATTTCTTTCAATTTATTTTCCTTATCATTATTATTTTCCTAGTTGTTAAGTTACCATATAATTATCTCCTTCTCTTACTTCATCATGATTACTATTATTATCTTTAAAATTGTTCTTATTGAAATCATTATCATTATTATTTTCCTAGTTGTTAAGTTACCATATAATTATCTCCTTCTCTTACATCATCATGATTATTATTATTATCTTTGAAATTTTCCTTATTGAAATCATTATCATTATTATTTTCCTAGTTGTTAAGTTATATCATTATCTCCTTCTCTTACATCATCATGATTATTATATCATTATCTTTAAAATTTTCCTTATTGAAATAATTATCATTATTATTTTCCTAGTTGTTAAGTTATATCATTATCTCCTTCTCTTACATCATCATGATTATTATATTATTATCTTTAAAATTTTCCTTATTGAAATTATTATGATTATTATTTTCCTAGTGGTTAGGTTATATCATTATCTCCTTCGCTTACATCATCGTGATTATTATTATTATTATCTTTAAAATTTTCCTTATTGAAATTATTATGATTATTATTTTCCTAGTGGTTAGGTTATATCATTATCTCCTTCGCTTACATCATCGTGATTATTATTATTATTTTTGAAATTTTCCTTATTGAAATCATTATGATTATTATTTTCCTAGTTGTTAAGTTCTATCATTATCTCCTTCTCTTACATCATCATGATTATTATCTTTAAAATTTTCCTTATTGAAATCATTATGATTATTATTTTCCTAGTTGTTCAGTTATATCATTATCTCCTTCTCTTACATCATCATGATTATTATTATTATCTTTGAAATTTTCCTTATTGAAATCATTATGATTATTATTTTCCTAGTTGTTCAGTTATCATATTATTTTCTTCTTCTCTTACATCATCATGATTATTTTATTATTATCTTAAAAATTTTCCTTATTGACATCATTATAATTATTATTTACCTAGTTGTTCAGTTATCATATTATTTTCTCCTTCTCTTACATCATCATGATTATTTTATTATTATCTTAAAAATTTTCCTTATTGAAATCATTATAATTATTATTTTCCTAGTTGTTCAGTTATCATATTATTATCTCCTTCTCTTACATCATCATGATTATTATTATTATCTTTAAACTTTTTCTTATTGAAATCATTATAATTATTATTTTCCTAGTTGTTTAGTTATATCATTATCTCCTTCTCTTACATCATCATGATTATTATTATTATCTTTAAAATTTTCCTGATTGAAATCATTATAATTATTATTTTCCTAGTTGTTCAGTTATCATATTATTTTCTCCTTCTCTTACATCATCATGATTATTATTTTCAAAGAATTGCTTTGTGTTCAGTCGACCCGGTAACACCCAGCTGAATGCTATTGTTGAAGTAAAGTTGGACCGTGTATTGAAAGCTGTTCTTATATTCAAGGGGCTGATGATAGAGTGGGTGGTTGTTAAGGTAAATTCTAGGACCTAACAAGAGGTAGAATTTGATTCACAGCGTACACCCTTGAAATATTTGATACTATATGAATGAAAACATTCTTGCTTTTTAACTTAAAATCGATAATTTTCTATTTCGGATTCTGCAAAAATGAAAATTTGCTACTCAGATAACGGATTTTATGGTACTATGTTATGAATCTGACATGCCAAATTGAAGGTCACTTGAAGTTACTTAGACAATAGACAGTTCCTATAAGGATATATGGATTTTAATATTAGATATTGATTATTCAGGGTTGGGAGGAAGAACTGCTGAAGTCTGACGGACAAGTTGATATCTGGGGGGAGAGTAGATTTCAGGTGAAGGATTGTCGAGATGCTAAGTTGAGTGGGTCCACTTTTAAAGTGAAAAATAGCTGAAATTGGAAATTAAGACTAAGCGCGGGTAAACGGTGGGATTTAATATGACTACCCTGGGCAACGCTGGGTTCCCAAGCTAGTGCTATATATGACAGTTGAATGACAACTTAAAGGACTAGTCAGTTGAAATTACGTCAGAGTTCCTTTAAGGTTTTCCAACGAATTACTGAGAATGCTAATGCCGCGATGCTTCACTTCCAATCCCCAGTCTACCCAGATCTTGCAATTAGGTAGTTCTTTATATTATTTTATAGCGATACTCATAATTTTGTATAAAAGTAGAAAAATTGTAATTTTTAGAAATATTTTCCGTCTTTGTTTAGAAATTAACCTTTTCAGTTTTTTTCCCCCAAAGATTCAAATATTTACTTAACTAAGAATAACATTTTTATCTTCCTTATGTTTGTAGATATACAAGTAAGATAGTATTCAGAAGTAGCTGGATGGCTTAGCATCCGTTCTACTTTGATCCAGATCCAGCCTTATAATATATTTCTTCATTTACTAATTTTCTTGATTTTTATGCTGGAACTTTATGGGCAAAATGCTCCGTATAATAGTTTTTTATGGAATTTTGTTGGTCGATTTTTTTTTTTCTAATTAGTCAGCAAATGCATTTATCTTTATTTTAGATCGTTTATGACCTATCTTCACAGTTTTAACAGCTTATTCAGGAACCAATCAAACACTATTTGCTTTGCGTTTTATTATTTTAGTTAGTTGTTGATTGATTGACGTGTTGATTTTTGTTGGATTACATTAATTGATTAATTGGTTGATCTATTGTTAGAAAAGTGGTTGGTTGGTTATTTATAGTTGAATGGATGAAGGATTTATGAATTGACATACTTTTTATTGATTAATTGATGATTTAATGATCAGTAGTTCTTAATTGTTTGTTTGATTGATTGATTGATTATTCAGTGATAAATGTAAACAGTGCGGCATGCATCTGCACAATCACCTCCCCCCGACCTGGAGGGAGTTTAGAACCCTTGAACCATTTCATGAGGATTGTAGACCCTAGAGTTTAGAACCCTTGAACCATTTCATGAGGATTGTAGACCCTAGAGTTTAGAACCCTTGAACCATTTCATGAGGATTGTAGACCCTAGAGTTTAGAACCCTTGAACCATTTCATGAGGACTGTAGACCCTAGAGTTTAGAACCCTTTGTAGACCCTAGAGTTTAGAACCCTTGAACCATTTCATGAGGATTCTAGACCCTAGTGATGGGTTTGTTAAACTTCATGTTTGATGGAGTGAGATCTTTCCTTGATAATCTTAATATAATTTCTATTCTTTTGTAAATTTTTGAAATTACAAGAATTTGAAAGTCTTTGTCGCATATTTGTTTGATATCTCATGTACCTGAACCTTGTACTGCCTGTTTCAGAAATTGTACACAATGTCCCGCCCACTTCTTGTACATGGATGCCGTCTACTCAATCAGACAAGTGTACATGATTGGTACAAACCTGTGTTGTTCACCCTAGGACAAATACAGGGCTCATGTACTGCATTTAGTACAACAAAACGGGGAGAGTACAGTACAAAGCCTGGTAAAGCGTACACCTCAACAATTGGAAAACCGGTTATCACTATTCCCGTCACAGGAAAATCCGCAACCGCATAAAAAAGTTTTTTTTACATTTCACAATTTTTTTATTAATGTTATCTTTAAACACTTGCATCTCTGAAAGTTTATTTGTTCTAATATCATTATTTCTGGAATTTTAAAGAGGTTGATGTGTTATCTAGTTGAGAAAAGAGCGATGAAACGACACAAGAATATTAAGAATATATCACGTGATCAGGACAAACAGAAACTAAAGAATAAACCACTCGCCATATCCTGCAAGGGACATTATACTTAAATACTATGCACCCATCCAAGATATTACATACAGTAGAACTCATTTAACGCGGAAAAAAGACGACATTTAAGTAATCCATGGTGTTTTTGTTGTGTTAAAGCAAAATATTTTTTTTCCGGTAGCTTTAAAATATTTACATATAAACTTAATTTAGGATGATGTGTCCATGTACATTGTACACTGTACACAGCTCAGAGCACAATTGTTACGTTTTATGTTCAATTGACTATTCAATGTTAAAACTTGAGTCTTACAGTCGTCTTCCTTTTTTACAATTTTAATTTTTCTATTCCACCATTTTAATTAGTGTGGCCGAAATTTGATTGATTGATTGATGAAAACCGAATTTTGAAAAGGCATCCTCTACGAATTGCAAATCCTTATTGCAATCCCAGCTTAGTACAGTCATGGTGGGATTGTAATGTGGTCATACAGTTTCCGTAATAGTCTGATTGATTGATTGAGTCCCACTGTACAATAAAAAACTCTATTTCTTCTGGTCATAAAGTGTGATGTTGTATTCCAGAGAAGTGAGTTGAACCACTATATGGGTCAAACCTACGGGAAGTTCGATAAAGTTCCCCTAGCAAGTCAAGGATGGAATAACAGGAACATGCAGCTCTCAAACTTAATTCGAATAATAATTTGTTAGGGAATGTAGACCCGCTTTTTTTAAGGACTGTAGAACCGCTTTTTTAGGGACTGTAGACCCGCTTCTTTAGGGAATGTAGAACCGCTTTTTAAAAAGAGTGACATGTCCGATTTACCATGGTACCCTTTAAACTTCTATCTGAGTAACCACGAGGGAGATAAAACCATTATTTTTTAGCGTGTTGAATTCTGACTATTTTAAATTTTCCGAGAGAAAAAGAATTTTAGACCAGACATAGTTCTAAAGGGTACCCTTGGTACTCAGACATGTTTTTTACTTTAAATTACGTTTACAGTTCCACAGGGGTGTATATAATTCCATATTTTTGATTCTTTTCCCCCCCCCCTCTAAATTTTTTTTGAATTCCTTCCCCAAACTCGACAACTCAAAATACATAGATTAAACTCTTCTTAGATTTATTAAAGTATCATCTAAAAGAATTTACTTATTCTTACTTAATTTAACAGTAAAAAAGTCTACAGGGACATGACTGATTTTCTTGGTTCTTCCGTAGCTGTCCAAGAGTTGCAGACAGATCTGCAAACTTCAGTTTGGAGTATTGTCTGGAAAGTCTGGCGTTGTCCAACTTTCTTACAAAGGTCATCTCCTTCATAAACTCATCCCTGTTTTCAGGGATGATTTTTTTCTTTAAGATATGAAGAGGAGGAGCATTAAAAGCTATGATAATCTCTCTTGAGAAAAGCTTGATGTGAGTTTCTTCCTTTATAAACTAGTATATTCATGGGGGATCCCACACTTTGACAGTAGGCTTCAGTATATGAAACAGGTCAAAGAATCTAGACTCTGCTGACGAACTCTGCCTAAAATTCTTTTGGAACAGTTTATTATAACTTTCAAGGAATGCTGATAAGAATTTTGATTAAATGTCAGGAATTGAATGTATGTCTGCAGAAGGCTATCCTGAACTTCAAACTTCTCCTGAAGTTTGTCTTCTATAAGATTTTCAACCAGCTCCTCTAGATGTACTCTGTCACTTGTTTCTAGCATGTCTTTACTGATGTTTTCAGCCCACTCTGTTCTATGAAAAGCCTCTACAGAAGCCTTTACAAGTTAAGTAGGTTTAAATCGTTTTTCCAAGGATGTAAAGATGTCCTCACATACCTCACTAAGTTGCTTTTCAACTTTTTCTATATAATTATCAGTCAAAGACATAACTGAAACCTCTTGCTCAGCAATATCCTGAGTTGTTAGATGGTTGTTTTTAACTTTATCATCCTTTTCATTATCATCATCTTCCTCATCCTGAATGTTTGTGGATGTCAGGAAAGACAGACATCATTTCCAAGTTCAGGCGCACAGCTGCAGATCTTTTACTGTCTCTTTCAAATGAGTTCTGTAATTTCCATTTTTAAGATTGTTGACATGTTTTGATGGTATCCCAATTCCAGACATCATTTCTTGATCAGACCACGAGGTCAACATAATGTTGTAACATGTTTTCAACTCCACAAATTGAAACATACACAATTATTCTCTTAACAACAATTGTGACAATACATTACCTCTTTTTCCATTCCCCTTACTCCCCATCCTCTCCACTTTCACTTCCCATTCCCTTCCCATCCCATTTCCCTCCACATCCCTTCCCCTCCCCTTCGCCTTCCCTTCTCCTCCCCTTCTCCCCTTCTCCTTCCCTCTCCCTCCTCCTTCCCNCAGGTGTTAAAAATTGAAATGTACACAATGTTGGATAAATCACGTTATCATAGAGTAATTTGACGTTTCCTTCTCTTTCCCTTCTCCTTCCCTTCTCTTTCCCTTCTCCTTCCCTTCTCCTTCCCTTCTCCTTCCCTTCCCCTTTCCTTCCCCTTTCCCTTCCCTTCCCTTCCCTTCCCCTTCCCCTCTTTTGTGACCTTTGATTTCTTTCCGGGGGAAATGGAATTATATACACCCCTGCTCAAATTTGAAACTATTTGAAACTATCACCTTAAAACTTACTATTAAGAAATAGCAATTTCAAGCATTTTTTAAATCTCTGGTTTGTTTACAACATTTTGACTTATAGTTTTTTGTTAAAAGATTTTTTTCAATTTTTATTTTTATTTGGTTTGGTTAGGTCGGCTAGTCACCCCACAACTGATAAGAGAATTACCCGTCGTTAACGAGAGAGAAACAGGTAATTACAAAAATGTTTTAGAAACAAATTGGAAAAAAAAATATAATTTTTTTTCTTTAGAGTTTACATCTAGACACAGCTTAGAGTGGAAATTTCTTTTCTTAGATCACCGAGCTCCCCCTATAATAGGTATGATAAGCTTCATTTTGAAATACAATTTTTTTACAATGTGTACAAATAAACGATAAGAATTAGGAAAAGAATCATAATGTGTTACGCACACTGCTGAAAATGAACCATCAGGTTTAAAGTCGAAAACCTATTTTTTTCGGAATATTTTAATATGCAGGGTTCTGAGTTATAATCTAAATTTTTAGAAAATGCCACCTAGGGAATTTTAATTATATCCATTTTAAAGAAATTGTAAAAATCAAGTGCATTTTTAAGTCTAAACTCAAACGTAACTGCAGGTTCAAAGAATAATCAAGACTATTCGGTGTTTTTTGCAATATTTTTAGAACTATTGATGGCAGGGTCCCCAAATTTTGTGAATTTTCCGTAACAGTCATAAGACATGTTTCAGCAAAAAAATCAAAGCCTTAAGTGAACTGTGTATAATTGCCCAATTACTGCCTAAAAAAGACTTCTTGACGTAAAACCAGTAAAAATTACATAAAACAAACTTTTTCGGGCGGCATTTTAACAGTCAGGCAATTGACTGAGGGGTTTGATTTTTTGCTTCAATGAATTAGAGACCATGTTATATACTGTTAAAAAAATATCAAAAAAAAACCCAGAAGAAGCAGATTAAAGTCTTGAAATGATATTTTTGTTTAATTTAAGACCTGTGAATGCACTTGATTTCTACAATTTCTTAAAAATTGATTTGCTCAAAATTCCAAATTGAGAAAATAACTCAGTAGCCTGCATATAAACATAATCCAAAGAAAAAGTTAAGTGTTTTTACTTGAAACCTGATGGTCCATTTTCAGCAGTGTGCTGTTTTGAAAATTGACGAAGATCCTAGATTTAGTTTTTGGTTTACTTTTGACAGTTCAAGGGCGTAAACAGAATTAAATATAGGTGTGGGGGNATTTGAACTATAAATTCAAAACATTTGGTTTCTTGCATATCAGGTACAAGTATAAAATACTTTAAAGGTATACATGCAGTCCAATTAGCTTGCAAGTACTAGTTTATCTTTCTTTCAAACAAAATTAACAGAAACAAGTGTGATTGCTCTGAGTTCTAGGGGAAGGTACTGCCCCCCTTGCCCCCCCTGTATACGTCCTTCAGTTTTGTGATGATTGCTGAAAAAGCCACAAAAACCTTAAGTGTTCATAAAGAAATTATTCGAAAAGTCTCATTCGAACTAGATTTTTTTTTACATAATTTGGATAAAAGTTAAAAAATGAAATCTGAGCAAATTTCTGAATATATCTTTTGATTTTGTTGGTACAAAAATGGTAGACCACATATCAGGGGTGTAAAAGCGCATTTGTGTAGGAAGGCACTTCTTGCTCACGTCAGCGTTCAAAAATATTTTTTGGAGCCCCCTTAAAAAAAAACCTTTTTGGAAAAAATATTGATACCTTTTTTAACTTTGTTCAGCTAATCTATTCGATCATTTACACACTTCCATATTACAAGTGTTAATAAATTATTTATGTAATTTTCTTAAGTGGACTCATTGGACACTCCCTCCCTCTTAATACAGTGGTGTAAGCTTCAAGGGATGAAAAAAAGATAGAAACGTTTTTTAAAAAATATCTATATTGATACTTGTTGTACAGTGTAGTGAGAACAAGAAAACTCTGGAATAGGAAGTTAGGCTCAAATTATTACTTAAACAGTCCAATGAACATAAAACACAGACATTGTGCAGTGTTAACAGACCAATATAACTTAAATGAAACTTTTTTAGTTAAGGGCAAAAGTTATATTTTAAAGTATTTTTTATTTTATGATGTAATTATACTTAAATTTCTGAAGCAAGAAATGCATGAGTCACTTTTGTAGAGAAACCACAACCCGGATATTTAATGTAATACTTGATCAGACAAAGCTTTGAAGGGTATTGTTGTGAATCAGAATCTAATTTATTTCTCACGCGTAGGGGGGGGGGATGTGCACCCAGGTCCCCCGCACTCGTACGCCCCTGACCACATTTTGTAAATATCATGACCAAAAGTTATTTAATAAATACTATTTGACAGAGAATTAATACTAAATCAATTTTTTTTTTAAATCCCGAATGATGAAAGCCGATGTAAAAGTTAAGTATTATGTATCTGTTTTCTAGGATATTTACCCTTTGAACTGCTTGGAACATCAGGATACGATTACTACCATGCTGATGACTTGGATCAAGTTGCAGAGTGCCATAGATCGCTCCGACAGGTTAATATTTATTTCCCTCCAAAGTCCAAAAGGTTAATGCTTTTTCCTCCAAAAGATAAATGTGTTTTTTTTCCGAAAAGTAATTTTTTTCTTCTGGAGGTATATCTTTTCCTCCGAAAGGTAATTTTTTTCTCCTACATGTAAATCATTATTTCCATTCTACAGGTTAATGTTTGTTTCCCTTCCAACAGTTATAAATACTTTTCCTCCAAAAAATTAACGCAGTATTAATTATATATTATGTCAGTATTTCGTTTTTTTGTCCGATCATAACTCATAAACCCCTTAAAAGATTTGCTATAAATTTGGATTGGGTAACTCTGGGTTGATATTTTTAAAGAAAGGCAATTTTCCAGGAAAATCTGGGTTCCAAAAAAGGCATGCTTTATCTGGGTTAAAATTCGAGTTTTCACCAAAGTGGAGGGTTGTAAAATTGATGTCCACTGGATGATATTTGGGTGATATCTGGATGATATCTGCATGATATTTGTGTGTTAACTGGATGATATTTGGATGATAATTGGGTGATATCTGGATGATATTTGGTTGATATATGGATGATATTTGGGTGATATCTAGATGATATTTGGGTGATATCTAGAAGATATTTGGGTGATATCTGGATGATATTTAGGTTTAAACTGGTATTTATCTGGTAGATATTTAGGTGTACACTGGGAATTAAATGGTATATATCTGGATGATATCTAGGTTGAAAGGGAGAAAACTCGCAATATTTCTTGGTTTAAACCCATATAACATCCAGATAAATACTTAGTGTAGTACTGATGTACTCCCAGTATACTCCCAGACTCCTAGACTCTTGGACCCAAATAAGTTATCATGCAGCATACAAAAAAAAATCATAAATGCCAATCTAAATATGTATTTTTACTAAAAATTGAATAAAGTATCAAATGTGTTAATATTCTAAGCACAGTAATTTTTACAGTTACAAATTCAAATTATCAATTGATCTCCTCTTGAGCCTTATTATCATTTATCCTATTCTCTGCCGTGTCCTGAGAAATAAAATCGAAATAGTTTTGATGTATTTTGTTGTACCTTCCATCCATGTTCAGTCCGTTCATCTAAGTTCGTAAATTTACAATCCGTTCAAGCACAGTCCGCCCTTGTACAGTCCGTCCTTGTCTAGTCCGTCCTTGTACAGTCCGTCCTTGTACAGTCCGTCCTTGTACAGTCCGTCCTTGTACAGTCCGTCCTTTACAGTCTGTCCTTCTACAGTCGGTCCTTCTACAGTCCTTCCTTGTACCGTCCGTCCTTGTACAGTCCGTCACAGTCCGTCCTTGTACAGTCCATCTTGGCCGTCCTTGTACAGTCCGTCTTGTACAGTCCGTCCTTGTACAGTCCGTTCTGGTACAGTCCGTTCTTGTACAGTCCGTCCTTGTACCGTCCGTCCTTGTACAGTCCGTCCTTGTACAGTCCGTACTTGTACAGTCCGTCCTTGTACCGTCCGTCCTTGTCTGGTACAGTCCGTTCTTGTACAGTCCGTCCTTGTACCGTCCGTCCTTGTACAGTCCGTCCTTGTACAGTCCGTACTTGTACAGTCCGTCCTTGTACCGTCCGTCCTTGTACAGTCCGTCCTTGTACAGTCCTTCATTGTGCCGTCCGTCCTTGTAAAATCCGTCTCTCCTTGTACAGTCCGTGTCTAGATTTGTATTTGCATTTAAGTATACTTATATAAGATAATGACGGAATTTCTCCAGATCTATCTAGATCAGGGGGGGTGGTATTTCTCTCGAAAACGAGGAGGCTCAACAACTTGTGAGAGAGATATCAGATGGCTCAGAGAATGGTTATTTTGATAAATTCTTTTCAAAAAATTGCATTTCTTAGCATTGTTTTACACGGTTCTTGTTCTAGGCAAAAATAATATTCAGTTTTATAATTACGAAAATGCAAAAAATGTGTGGGTATATAGAAAAAAAATCCGCGAAACATTTTTTCATAAAAACTGTTTTTTTATAAATCACTTGGAAAGTATTTAGGCTGTTCTCTTCCAAGATTTCATAAAATCCCGTTCGCGAAATTAAATAGAGATGAGTTCCATGAAAAATTGTTAGTGCAAATTTGGACCAAATATTAAAAAATAAAATATCAAAAATAAATTTACGGTTTACAAGTATTCCCAATTATAAATTGAATTTCAATAACAAAATTGTTTAAATATATATAAAAAGAAAATTTGTGAAAACTCTTTTATTTATTTATTAATATATTTTATGAAACTTTGAAAATAATAGAACATACATTATCTACTCCATTTCTTAGAAAATAGTTAATGAGGATTTTTTTAGCATCAAATATTTTGGCATTTGGTTCATTTTATTTCAATATTTTTCCACCTAAAACATGAAACCTGCAAATAAATTTAAAGTGTACACGAAAACAACGCTAATCCCGTTTTTTTGCTCACCCTGTAAAAATATAAAAATATACCGGATTATCAATGATTCACTTCTAAAGGAACTGTAAGCGAAATTTCAAGTGACCCTCCATGCCAAATCAGGTGATTTACAATAGTTCCCTTGAAACCTTTATCTGATCAATAATGTGGCAGATATTGCTATATCTTCTATACTGCATACATAAAGTAAACCATATATAAATAGTTGCACATTTTTTGCCTGTAACATAATAATTGGTTTGTGTAATTTTAGCAATAAACTATATCTTATCTTATCTTATCTTATTGTGATTTTTCTAGGTTTAAAAGTGTTTATTTCGACTTGTTAATTCCTACATTTGTTCCTGCAGTTATAGAAATGCGCAATTCACTTTTGTAAAGAGACCCCGATATGAAATGGTGAAACATTGATATCTTATTAATTAACGGTCAGACAAAGCTTTTAGAATTACCATTATAGGGAATCGGACATCTTTGTATTGAGGGTCACTTGTAATTATGCTTACAGTCCCTTGTACATAATCTATTATAACGAGTAAGCAAGTTAATAGCTGATTTATATCATTCCAGAAAAAAAAACATAACTTCTCCTATTATATGGTTTAAACTTTAAGGTTGCTGGCCGCTGGGTCTTGTAAGTTGTATGCACAAGTTTATTTAAGATATTATTGTGAGAAGGGTAGAACTGGTTATTAAACTCTTATCTACTACGCTTTATACCAAATGATTTTTTAGTTTTGAAAATAAGGTGATTTTATTTTTAGACTGGCGAGTGTACCTCATGTTACTACAGATTTCTAACAAAGGGTCAGCAATGGATTTGGCTTCAGACAAGGTACACTGTACACACTATTTTGCCATTGTTCTGCGGCCATGTTGGATATGATTGGCGGCCATGTTGATCATGTTTGGCGCCCTTGGGCATGTTTGAAAGGTTTGACGTCCATGTTTGTCATGATAGGCGGCAATGTTAGAAAGATTTTACGTTTATGTTAAGATCTACCCAAAGGAACTGAGTTCTTGCCACTATCTCATCCCTATATATTTGCAACATTTGTATACTTTCAAACTTAAATTGTTTGATCTTATAGAGTGCATAGGTTGAAATATCAAAGGTCTACGACATCGGGTTGCAAAGATAAAGACATTGAAACATCCAGAGTGTGTTACAAGAACTCAACTAAGTTTTGGTTTGTTGTTTATGTACAGTGCTATCTTCAAATGGTTGAAAGTGAGACTTTATTCAGTTATCTTTGATTTTTATCTCAATAAGTGAGTGACTTTTAATTTATTTCTTATAGCAATGGTCTTTTTTTCCAACTCAACCAAAGTCCGACTTTTTTCTCAATAAATGTACCCGTCCGACGTGTGTACGAGTCCGACGTTTGTACCAGGCCAACGTAATTGTACCAATCCGACGTTTGTAAGTCCGACGTGTGTACAATCAGACCTTTGTAACGTCCGACGTTTGTTGAATCTAATGAAATTTAAATTGGTTAAATTTCTGAATTTGTTTTTAGATATTTCATCACATATCATCAATGGAACTCTAAACCTGAGTTTATTGTTGCAACTCACAAGGTTGTAAACTACGAGGAGGTTCTAATCAGTTCTAGGAAACAAGAGAAGGTTAGTTAACTGCAGCGCTCGGCACACTAAAGTCTGCCCTAGCCACAGCGCTCAGCCCAAGCATTGTTTAACCTAGCCCAGATATTGATTAAAATTTAATCGATTTGGGGTTTTCCAAAATATGATTGTTTGTGATGATAATGGGGTTAGGTTTCAGTTCTTATTTGCTTATTTTTTATAAGAAGCTTTTGATTTTATTTGTAAAGAAAAGCTAATATGGTAATGCCATCACCACTGAAAACATTTATTTTAGTAAAATGTTTTCTTCTTCATCTTTTCTCGTGAATCGTTGTTAATCATTTATGGCTGGCGATTCTTTTAAGAGTCAAATTCGAAATCGAATCAACAAGTTGACAGTTCACTCTAATATTTAGTGAAAGTCTATACAAATGCAAAATGTATAAGATCAATGACAGTAAAATTGTTTAGACTGAATCCCTTCATGATTCTGCGGCTTCAAATAGATCTGGGAAATCATTCAGGTATTAGTATCATAACACTATCATAATCTTATCAATATAATACATTAAATAAGACAAGTAGACAAACGTTTCAGAAAATTACCTATAACATTAATATTTTGGCACGACGTGCTATAAAGTTGTTGGACTTGAATTTTCTCTATATCTCGAAGGTTCTCGCCTTTTTAGGTTATACTTTGTCCTAAAACTGTGAACAAAAATAACAGTGTTACAAATAGTTATTAAGATCGAATAAACTAAATAAGGTACGGTCGTGTAAATTTAGATTAACCCCCATTTAAAAAAATGGGACTGTCCGATTCACAACGATATTTTTGAAACTTTTTTTCTTTTTGATTAATCTGTTAAGTGCTGAGAATCAATTAAATAGTCAATTTTCTTTAAAGGAAACCAATAGAGTTTCGTACTTTTAAACTTTTATAATTTCAAATATTTTTTTAACAGAAACATCCTTTTAATCCTATTGCTCTCTATGTTATTGATTTGAAAATTAGATTTTGAAACTTGTTAAAACTTAAAAGTTAGATTAACGTTTAGATCTTGTATATCACACCTTAACTTACATAACTTCAATACTTATATATAAGTTTTCAATAAAAGACTCGACTAAAGGAATTTATATTTCCCCTCAATTTTCTAAACGCTATAGCTTAACAGCCTGATCACCATGTTTAACTAAAGGGTGTAAAAGGGAGTGTTCACGAAAAATGAAAGTAGTTATTATAGGGTTACGGCGAAAAATAAGAGCTTTTGATCGCTACTCATCTTACTTCTATCTGTTGCGTCTATTAGGACGACTCTTGCCAAAGAACGTAGCATCCATACAAATTCATAAAATTGCAACATTCAACTCGAATCGTAAAATAATCAACTTAATTCCAAACAAATCATTCAGATAGTAATCGATTATTTTTTCGACGCATTCGGATATATTTCATAATATTTTTTATCTTGTTTTTAAAATAATATTTCGCTGGCGCTGGATTTTCAAAGATTCCTGGAAAATATAAAAATGTCGTCTTTATTATCAAACATCCTGGAAAGAGGAATACATGTTTTCAAAAGTAACAACATTTCAGATTAAAGCCTTGACCTGAGATACAAGCCACTAGTAAACTTTAAAATTTAAACAAAACGAACTATAGTTGATGTGAGATACAAGCCAGTAAACTTTAAAATTTAAACAAAACGAACTATAGTTGACATGAGATACAAGCCAGTAAACTTTAAAATTTAAACAAAACGAACTATAGTTGACATGAGATACAAGCCAGTAAACTTTAAATTTAAATAACACGAACTAGAGTTGACATGAGATACAAGCCAGTTAACTTTAAAATTTAAATAAAACGAATTATAGTTGATGTGATATACAAGCCAGTAAACTGTAAAATTTAAATTTAACGAACTATAGTTGACGTGAGATACAAGCCAGTAAACTTTAAAATTTAAAAGGCAATTAAAAGTTGCAAAAATATACGAATTAGTAAATGAGAGTGTGCGTGTTGATTTATGTCAGTCCTAATTTTGTAATTTCATTTTTGGATTGATTTTGGTAGGGCGTCCTTAAGCGTATTTCATTTGCTTAATACGTATTTTTTGTTTTTTGATTTGATTTGATTTGATTCAGCTCTGGTTTGATTAATTGTTTAATTGATTAATTGATTGATTAGATCTGGTTCTCCAACGTGGTCAAGTATGAGTTCTCTATGTGGATCTACGAGTACTGGGTTTGCTAGTTCCAGCAAGATTAGTCAGGAACCTGGAGAACAGATGAATTTTCAGGTAAAATTACTTCCGCCGTATCCCCACATACCCCTCATCTCCTTCTTTATGTAAAAAATGCATGATATTTATTGTAAGCGTAAACTTCAAGAGACCCTTCAAACAAACTGCAAAGACGAAAATGTCTGATATACAGCGGTACCCTTGAAACCTTAATTTGATCAATAATGTAGAAGATAAAGTCGTTTTTTAACTCTCAAGTGTTTAATTTGGATAATTTCTTCATTGCTTCTTATATGCGTAAGTAACTTTCGCAAATAAACCACAAATGAAAATAGACAGTTTAAAGAAAATAAAAATGGATATTTAATTCATACGTGGATATTTTTTAATGGGACTGTTGTTTAATGGGCATTGCCATTTTTGCATGGAGGATCACTTGAAAAGACGCTTACAGTCCCTTTAATTGGAATTTTATGGTTTTATACACACACACACACACTCACACCCACACCCTCTCAGTCTCACACACACTCCCTCGCATGTATGAATAACTACCATGTCTTGTTACGGCATTTTTTAATCTTTTTAATTTTGTTTTAGGGAGGATACAGAGCTAGGAATAGTCGGAGTTCCTCTAGGATCGGTAGCATAGGGATGACAAGTATGCAGCTTCTTCAAGAACCTCAGTTCCTACATGATCAACAGTTTATGTCAGAATCTATGTCAGGTGATTTTTTATGTCAGAATCTTTGTAAGCTGATATATTAATGTCAGAATCTATGTCAGATGATATACTTATGTCAGAATCTACGTCAGGTGACATATTTATGTCAGAATCTACGTCAGGTGATATTGTGAACCAAAGAGGATTCACAATTGTAAATAATAAAGTACAGTTTATTGCTCCCAAGCGAGAATATGATTGTTAGTCTGATAATCTAACCCAAGCCAAGCGCTAAAGGTTATTGAACTCTTAGTATGTTTGCAACCTGATGATCCAAGAGGCCAGGCCAGTACCAGAGCAGGGAAAGGGTAAAACGGGATTCTACGGCAAGGGAAGAAAGGACCAGGATCAGCCATATTGAATTCCCCATATATAGCTAGAATTCACTTAGCATCGAAAAGGAGAAGTTCCATGGAATATACATTCGTGACTGTGGGCGAATGTCGTGTTGAAGAAGAGTTAACTGATCATTCGATCCCCAGTTTGTATAATTTACCTGTAAATAAAGTTTTGTTGCAAACATGTTTTATTATTACACTCAATCTTGGCTTTTTACATTCAGTCCTCTTTTAAGTCTATAATATATTGCGATGTGGTAATAGGGCGTTCCTTAAAAATCTGATTGATTGATATTTATGTCAGAAACTATGTCAGGTGATATATTTATGTCCGAATCTATGTCAGGTGATATATTTATGTCCGAATCTATGTCAGGTGTTTTATGATGTCAGAATCTATCTCGGGTCATATATTGCGATGTGGTCATAGGGGGTCCATAAAAGTCTGATTGATTGTTATTTATGTCAGAAACTATGTCAGATAATATATTTAAGTCATAATATAGTTATAAATTCATGTCAGAATACATGCAGGTGATTTGTTTATGTCAGGTGATATTCTCATGTCAGATTCTATACTAAGTTTTACATCAGAGCTAAAAGCTTTAGAATAGGATACCTTTAATCCCGATCACTTAATTTGAATATCCTGTTAACACTTTTAATTTCCTTAATCCGCTCTGGGTCTTTCTTTTTCTCTCCCTGGCAGTTTCCGACAAATATGAGTTAACTCACTCAATGGCGCGTAAAATTTCAAATTTCCTGGCTTCTCTGATTGGCTGTTTTGGTTTCTCCAAACGTCACCGAATTGGTTCAGTTATAAACACTTTCTCGATATCCACAATTCTAAAGTTAAAGGTAGCGGCCAAAATCTGTTACTCGCGAATGCCCCAATGAATTATAAGAAGAGAGATTAGTATATATTTTAGGGTTAGGTTAGGTTTAGACACCTTCTGGGCCGCTCGATGCGGCTGGGACTGGCTAGGGGGTTAAGCGCCACGACTAGGACAGCCGCAGCTAGAACTGGTTCTCTCTCGGTCTTAAAATTTATTGCGGCGTTCGCGATTAAAACAGATTGGCCGCTGCCAAGTTTTAAGCTAAGATGAGATATATGCTTGTGAAATAAATGAAAGATTAAATGTTGTTGTTTTTAGTCGACTCACGGCAGAGCTCTGTTCACAGTTCAATGTACGATCCTCAAACCAGAGCTCCAGCGATCATTGTACCACACGATCATTCATCATCACACACTTTACTTTCCATCCCTCCTGCGAGTTTATCCGTTCTTCCTTCCCCCTCCTCCCCTGCCCCTCTACTACCCGTCTCCACCCTCCTCCTAGCAACCTCCTGCCAGCCTCCTCTAGTCCTAGGTTCCTCCCCCCTACTCGGAGCTTCCTCCCCCCTACTCGGAGCTTCCTCCTCTCCTATATCATCGACAACCCCTTTTAATCCTCATGACTCCTCCTCTTCTCGTGCTCCTCCTCTTCATCCCTCCCTACTCACACCTCTCCTCCTTTCCCCTGCTCAGCTTCAGCTCCAGCGTCAACTTAGATCCAAGCATGCCGAGCTCAGCAGGCGGATACAGCTGCAGCAGCAGGAGCTTCTTAAACTAGGGGAGCAGCTGGAGATAACCCAGCAGCAAAGTGTGGCGGCTGAACCGAAACGTGTGATATCCATCCAACCCGGAGGGGAATATGAAATTCCTATCCAGCAGGTTCAGGGCCCTCCTCCTTCTCCTCATCCTCCTACATTAGATTATAGAAATCCAACCACTGCTACTATACCAGATTATAGAAATCCTCATCCTCCTCCTTCTCCTACATCAGATTATAGAAATCCTCATCCTCCTCTTACTTCTACACCAGATTATAGAAATCCAACCATGCTCAGATCCTTATCTAACCCGACTCAGGGGTTGCACAGATCAGATCCTCTCAACCAAACTCAACAGAGGTCATTATCTACCATAGGAGATCATTTAACCGTCCCCCAACAGCGATCATTATCGTCTAGAGGTGGGTTTTTAAATACGTAAAATCGGTCTTTTAATTTTAGGACTACTCTTTTTCGATGACAGTCTTAATGCATGTCGAAGTGTTATTTTAAGTGAATCCATGTATAAAGATGGCAATGCCCAATTTAAATCTCTACCCTATAAAGGGACCATTAACTTGTTTGGGTAATTTGAGGGTAAAATAAATAGCTTATTAGCATTTCATTGATTGATATTAGTCTTATTTTTCAAAGACAACTGTGACCGGATGAAAAGTCGATTTCTCGTTTAGAATTCCAGCGCAAAGATACATAGATAGACACTATTAGATGCTTTATGTCATAGTCGTGGATTTTTTTTTAAATATTCAAATATTAGATTAAACTGTAGTATCTAATAGTTTATTGTAGATGTCTTTCAATTTTTTCCAAATTATTATAAAATTGTCAGTTTTCAAATTATAGCTTATTTTAAACATTTGACGGATTGGTACGATTTTTTCCCTTTGTATAAACATATGTTTGAACATGAAAAACGTTAATTTCTTGCTTATTCTAAAATCAAAGTATTCATATTTTTTATATAAAATGGCTGTCAAAGGATGTAATTGAAATATGATAGTTTTACGTTTAAATAGTATCCATGCAAAGGTATCAAACGTACCGTACCTATATGCTGGAATACTAAGCAATAAATCGGCTATTTCTGTGGCTATAGTTATCTTTGAAAAGTAAGACTATACAAATGAATAGCAACTAGGCTAGTTAGCTTATCATTAAATTACCCAAATACTTAAACGGTCCCTTTAAACCTTTGACTAATCTACGGATAATAGTCTATGACTTCTTACAAGGAAAAAAAGATAAAGATTGAAAGGGTATTGTTGTAACAGGTTCCGTCTTTTTTTCGACTATTCGGTTTGTTATTTAAAAAAATATTATCTATATTTTTAATAAGGTCATTATTTTTTCTTTTTTGTTGACATGATGACAATTAACACTGAACAGGGGACTAGATTTAATGAATAGCATGAATTAGTTGAACGTGTCGTCGGTTCTCTTGTAAGCCGGGTCAAGCTGAAGAGAAGTGGTTTTTTAATCTATGTTATTTTTGAACTACTTCTATTGATTAAATCTGATCCCGGATTCTTTAAACTGCTAAAATTGATACTTTATTATCTAGGATGGAATCCTTTGTGATTATCTAAAAACCAGAGGATAAATATTTATTCTGACTTTCAATAATCTTGTTGTTTTGGACCTCACAGGCCATCAAACAATGTACAATGTACCTTAAAGTGAAATAGATTGAAGAAAAATTGTAATGTAAAGAAAAGATGGCCGCATATCAGTGAGTACAAAGAGGAGTTAGTTCGTTTAATACTGTTGCCATTATTATGCTAGCTTAGCCATACAATCTTCTTATTCATAATGTGCTTATGTTATTGTTTTTTTTTAAATCATTTATGTTCTCTAATGAGGGAGGGAACCCCCAGACACCATCAGCCTCCCTTTGCAGAACACTAGCCTCCCAGATTTTCTAGGCAGACTGAGCCTTCACTATGCAGGCCAAGCCTCTGCTATGCAGACCATGCCTTGCTATGCCGTAAACGAGCCTCCACCATACAGCACAGCTTTTAATCTGGTTTTTATGTGTAATGAAAATTGGACATTTTTTTGACGTTGGGCATAAGAATTTTACAATCAGAGTTATTTATTGATTGTCATGATTAAAGTAGTTTATAAGATTTATACTGAAGAATATGTTCATATGTTTAGAGAAATATTTATTGAGTAAAAGTTTGTTTAGTTGTAATCTTTGATTTAAACAATACCTTTTTTTAAAATGTTTAGATTTAAATAAATGATACAAATTTTCTAGATTCAATTTAAACTACAAAAAAGGTATCACTTCAATCAAAGATTGTAAAAGATGAAATTAAATTCAATTGAAATTTTTTAGTCATCACTATTTATGATAATTGATAAATACTTCTCATCTTTGAGAAACCTCTCATGCCACTTTGTCGAAAAATTTGAAAAAAAATCTTTTATTTAAACTTAAATTACAAGTTTAATAAAATCTCCTGTACTACAGAGTCACATTTTGATGTATTACGCATGATCATTTCTGCATTGCGGAGGTTCGGTCTGCTCAGCAAATTCGGGAGGCTCTTTTCTGCATAGTCGAGGCTCATGGCGATCGGGGGTTCCCTCCCTCCTCTGATAGCCTTTCATCGTCCTTAAATTTTTTAATTATATTCAACAGATTTATACCTTTTTATACTTAATTAACTTTTTTACAACTCATACTATGTTTTTCCTTCACTCTTCTTCAATATAGTTTAATTTTATCCTGTATCCTCCCGTATCTCCCTGCATTCCTCCTGTATCCTACTGTGTTCCCCTGTATTCTCGAGTATCCTACCGTTTCTTCTTTTATCCCCTACATCCCCCTAGATCTCCCTGTATCCTTATCTTATTTTATAGGTATCAATTTGTATTTTAAACCCTGGTTTCTCTCTTTCTAACTTGTCTACTTTTGTCACTTCTTATATTTTTTGTTTTAAAATAATTTTATGTTACTGTTTATATTGTTATCATAATTGTAAACACGTGCAGTACAATTCTATCTTATTCAAGGTTAATAACAATTTATTATTGATCTGTGTACACAGTGCGTGTCCGGATTACGAATGTCGTCTTTGAGCCCTCGTAAAGGAGATTTTAAACTACAGATATTTTTGTAATTAAGACTGAAATGTTCATTGTTGAATCTTGTGTAATACTCGAATATATTTACCCTCCTGGGGAGTATTTAATTTCCTACGTCACAAATAATTTATTATTTTTTTTAATGAAACTTAGTTTTCCCTTTTTTCATATTTATTGTGGTAATTGGTAATTTGTTTTAAGTGATTCAAGATTCACGCCGGTACTGTTAAGGCAATATTTAGTTCTCTGAAATATAAATTTACGAGTATTTTTTTGGGAAAATGCGCTGTACAATAAACAACAATTTTCAGACAGAAAACGAACAATATCTCTAATATTTTTGAAGGCTCACAGAATACCGGTGTGCATTGGTTGTGTTCAACGAGGTTATAGTTGGACTAGGTTGTGTTCAACGAGGTTATAGTTGGACTAGGTTGTGTTCAACGAGGTTATAGTTGGACTAGGTTGTGTCCAACGAGGTTATAGTTGGACTAGGTTGTGTCCAACGAGGTTATAGTTGGACTAGGTTGTGTCCAATGAGGTTATAGTTGGACTAGGTTCTGTTCAACGAGGTTATAGTTGGACTAGGTTGTGTCCAACGAGGTTATAGTTGGACTAGGTTGTGTCCAACGAGGTTATAGCTGGACTAGGTTGTGTCCAACGAGGTTATAGTTGGACTAGGTTGTGTCCAACGAGGTTATAGTTGGACTAGGTTGTCACTTTAAAAATGAGCGGCCCACTTCAAAGTACCGTGATACTGATATTCCCCACAAACTTTCGGGCAGGTTTACGATTTTCTGAAACTTTTGAACATGTATTGGTTAAAAAAAAGATGATATTTTGCTAAAAATTTACAAATTCAATTAAAGAAATATGATTTTAAGAATTTAAATTTTGGAAAAATATACATTCTTATCCCTAGTTTCCCTGATTATGTACCACGCTCATAAAAATGTGTTAAAATTGTCTAAATGTGCCATGTTATTTGTTAAGTTCTAGTTTAGTGATATTTGTTAATCAAAACAAAAGGTATTTGATGAAATTTTACGATCTATATTAATTATCTGAAAATATTCTAAATAATTTTTCATTCTTTATTTCTGAAATTAAAACTAGTTGATTATACCAGCAATCAAAAGTCGTAATAAATTGATGAATATAGTCGTATCTATAAATTTTATCAGATAAATAAATAAGTTTATTTATGAATTATCTACTTCAAGGTTGGATACTCTGGATGCGCTCTAATGCATGAAAAATGTCGTCTCCATACCAATGGAGACGTATATCTCAAATACCTATTATGACGTCACTGATTATTCTACAAATAGCGGCAAAGGCTCACCAAATAAAATCTATAATTTAAAACTTTCAGTTTTGTTTTATGACAGCTGGGCTTCTTAACTGACAGCAAAAAATAAAATTTAGTTGGGCATTCATATTTTCTCCACCCTTTTAGAAAGTCGTCTTTGGTTTCTGCCCTTGAAAGTCGTAAAATGAATGATAAATAAGATAGATGGATAGAAAGATAAAGACAAAATATGAAGAATAAAGAGAGAATAACAGAAATAATAAAATCTATGAAAGAAAATATCTGATAAAAAAGTTTTATTTTTGTTTTAAAAAAATCTTTTTCAAGTTTCCAAAAATAAAAATAAATATTTTCAAGATAATTTATTTTTTATTTTAAAAATTATTTTTTTGGAAAATATTTTTTTTAATTCATTAGTTATAAATTTCAAAAAATATATTTTTTATATATATCATAGTAAATGTCTTAAAACGGCGAATAGTTTGTTCCCATTTCCTGTGATTTAGCTGTGAAGTGATTTCCATCAGCTGATATTTAGCTCCGACTTCAGATCTAACCTAAGCTTCGATCTTGCTCTGATTTTGGACTAACGAATAGAAAATCATAGCTAAGCTAGGAAGTTGCAGCTAAATCATAGCTAGAACCGGACAAAGAAATAAGATAGATGAATAGACTAATAAAAACATAGATAGATAGAAAGAGTTAAAAAGATGAAGAATAAAAATCTGACAGAAAAGGTTTATTTTTTTGCTTAAAAAAATCTTTTTTTAGTATTAAAAAACCTTTTAAAGAATCTATTTTCAAGAAAATTTAGATTTTTTATTAAAAAAAGTAATTTTTAGAAAATTTTATTTTTAATTTATTAGTGAAAATTTTTCAAAATATCTTTTTTGAGAAAATATTATTTTAGGATTTTTGAAAAAATCGTTGAAATATTTTCATTTTTCTGAACAATGCATCTTGGTTTCTATTTTCATGGTTTGCAATTTTAGTAGTTTTAATGTCTGCTTATTTCTACCCAAAACTATGTGTATGCCTAAAAATGGCGAACAGTGTGTTCCCATTTGCTGTAAAGTGAAATACCTGTAAATATGTATTTTGTTTTTGCCTCGTTTTGATACGTGGCAATCATTTTCTTTTTTCATTTGTGTTTTTGGACAAAGAAATTAAAAGTTTGAAACGACTAACTCGTCTTTAAACTGAGGACAAACTCCAATCAGGTAATCAAGTTCCTGTGACGTCATAATAGGTATTTGTGTGTCCGTTGTTAGAAAGACGACATTTTCCGTCCATCGGAGCGCATCCAGAGTATTTAACTTTATACTTTATAACCTTGATCTACTCCCATTTCTTAGAACTCATTGAGAGAAAATAGATTAACAATTACAGTAGGTGGCAATGCGATTAAAATTACAGTATATGAAAAAGAGAAGAAAAAACACAAAACTGCCTTAAATCACTTTAAAGAAAGAAGAATGCAATTACATAAAAATAAATGACAATAAATTAAGTTGAGGATAAAAGAATGTTTGTTTTTTAACATTTTTCTCCCCCAGAAGTTGGGTATGTTTTTGGGGGTTTTATTAGCTAAATTTTTTTCCCCAGAATGTTTTTAAGGATTTTATCCGCTGAATCGGGGAAAATAAATTATTCTCAGGGGAAAAGTTAATTTTTAGGTAAAAAGTATGAAAAAAAAAACTTGGCTTTTAATTGTAATCCAATCGTATATTCTTTTCCTTAGATTTCCAAAAATTAATTACCCCTGGGGGGGAGGGAGAGGGTACTTCTTAAACATATACAGTACACCCCTGAGATCGTTGTCCGGCTCATAGCCAGGATTTTGTATGTTATTGTTGTGACATTGGTATGGCCGGGATCCAGGTAAGGTAACTTTAGCCTGAATTTTATCTTATACTGAGTAATATTTTTACATTTTCTTATTAATACCGTTCAAATTTCTGTGAATTTTATATTTTTGCAAAATAGAAAATTTTCATTATATGGTTTTTAAGCAGCTTAATATTATAATGTTTAATGACAGAAAATGTTGATATTTTGTTCTTACTGCTCGTTTTCATTTGAATTTCCATAATAAAATGTAAAGAAAATTTTACAAGTTTTTAATAAAACTGAAAACCACACTTAAAAATCAACTTTTCTGCCCTATTTATTCACTTTATACAATTTTAAATTAAATATGTCTGGATAAAATATTGAAACTGAGCTAAAATGTTTCTGAAAAGAATTTACATACAAGAACATGCAGTGTACATCATTGCAGTCACAAATCATGGATTGTCGGTGAAGGTTCGAAGGCTCCTCTTATCAACAAACACAAGTCGCAAATATATAAATATATTTCAAACCTACAAAATACAGTTTTAGTATAAAATTGCTTGATGTAATTAATAGGATTGAGAACTTACTAGTAGGGTGTGTCTGGGGTTATCAAGGAGGAAGGTGATCAGGTCAGTTTAAAACATTTGGATATTACTTCCGAAATAAAAACCCCAATTGTTTAGGTAGAATTGCAGAATTATACATGGATTGTGTGATATAAGTATTCACTATAGTTAAACGTTTGACTATTTCAACATGTTTTCTCCGTCAGGGGCGGAGTTATTCTGGTATATATTCTCTGGTTTTATGCTGATAACAAAGGGAAAGTGTTGGAAGACAACAATACAGTGGATAAAGTGGAAGGAAGATTTATGTATAAAAATCATATATGAAATATTAAGAAAAGGAGTGTGCTTGAGAAGTTTATACTTTTACTAGCCATGCCTTGTCTAACCACTTCAGACTGTTCAGAAAACTTTACTTGAGGACAAATATTTTTCAAGGGTTCTAATTTGGTTGGTCTGAGGGTAAAGTTTTAGTAATCAACTGTTTATAGTAGATAAATACTAAAAGCTGATATCTCAATTTAAAAAAAACAAAAACATTTTTTTCTTCATTTGCTCATATAAACTATAATACTATTATTTTATCTGTATTAATTCTTGATCATTGTAACTATTTATTTTCAGTTTGAACTATTATTTGCAAATAACACTAATCATAAGTATAGAATTATTTATTATTAAGAAATGTTGAAATTTGAGATTGAATAATCTTTGTTACAAAATGGATATGTCAACTTATGTGATCAAACTATAATTACTTCACAGAAATTTTTTTAAAACTCATTCTTAAAAATTCTTTAACTGCTATTAATAAATTATAATATCAAATAACTTTAAAAGTGATCGTGTATGAAAATAAACCATCATATATAGTAATATTCTTTAATTGGTTTAATTGGTGTATTAATGTTTTTATATCACAGGTGTAATAATTTAAAACATCCCTTTTCTATCTTCATTGGCCCTTCAGTAGTTCAACCAATTGTCAAGCTTAGTTTTGAAAATGTTCTGATTTCAGAACTCTTGATTGCACTTGGAATATTGATGCATGTTGCATATATAAGACCCCCCTGTCCTTCGGATCAATAAGATTTTTTGCTTGGAAAGAGGTTGGCTTCGAGTTGACCACTTCTAGAGAAGGTTCACATCTTAAAGTTGTTTGCAGTTTTCTCTTCACAAATATCACTCAATTTTAAGACCCAGAAATTTTGTTTCAAAACTTTCCAATTCATCTTGAAGTTCATCTTGAAGTTCATCTTGAAGTTCATCTTGAAGTTCATCTTGAAGTTCATCTTGAAGTTCATCTTGAAGTTCATCTTGAAGTTCTTTAATTTCTAACTTGAATGTCACTGTCAGGAGATATTCTAAGGGTCCAGTCTCAAGGTAGTTCGAAAATATCTTTTCTACTGATGCCTTGTTGAGTAGGAAACCAACAAATTTAGTTTGAAGAAGATCGTCATTACAAATTTGTCCCTGATTTTGCCTTGTAAATTACCGTTTACTTGAATCTAGTAGGGTTCTATCCCCCACACCACACCTGTCAAAAGATGTTGAAAGGAGGGCTGCCGCCGAAAAAAAACAATTCTGAGAAAAAGTTTATCAATTGAATTATGAAACCTGCGTTTCTGCATATTTACATAAGTAAAAAAGTAGTATTAAAGCATTAGAGGTGAAATGTTTGATTGGATTGGAGATCTAGCTGAAGAACCACATATTTCCATGAAATGACATCTCTCTCAGCATCCACAATTTCATAACATTTCTTCCATACATTTCTAAAAAGAGAAAATATTGGTTTAAATAATGATTTTAAAAAATAAAACATTTGAAAATGAATTTATACCTGACATTCTTCAGCATGTGACAAATGTCTAGATGTCTGTTTGGAGCAGGGTTGCCAATTTGAGTTTGCTATTTCTGAATTAATGTTGTCAGTATTCAGGCTGACAACTAGCTTTTTCAGCATGGATACATTTACAACCGGTTTGTCACAGGTGATTGAGGAAACATTAATGCCATAGTCTCATCATTTTTCCAGCAAGATTTAACCAGACTGACTTGATCTAGCATGTAGAAGATAATAAAAAATTTAAAAAAGATGGTTGATAAACATTAAGTTGTATTCAACTAGAGCTGTCATTTCATATCAATACAATGCAGACAAATTTTTATTTTTATTTTTACTTCTACCAAGGGCAGCTTTCACCTTGGATCCAAGTACTCTTAAAATCCCTTTATAATCTTTCTCTCTCTGAATATCTGTCATGTTTACTAATTAATAGAGATGTCGTCACTGAGGCTTACTAATAATAAATACCTTGTTCAGCTGCTACAGCTTCCTCAACCTCAATTATCTCATTCAGCTGCTCCGGATCAGGATTTATTAGAGCAGCTTCCTTGAACTCAAATATCTTATTAAGCTACTCCGATTCAGGATCTCTGTGAGGAGCATCCTCAACCTCAAATATCTTTTTCAGCTGCTCCAGTTCAGGATCTCTCTGAGCAGCTTCCTCAGACTCAAATATATCTCCTAGCAATCTCTCAACAACAGCTCCTCATTTACTACTGATAATTTGCAGCTTCTACTGTAATCCTAGCTGCTACCTGAGTCTCCACTACTTTAGCTGCACCTACAATCTGAAATGCTTCTACAGCAATCTCGGTGTCTTTCTTTGCTATTTGAGCTGCTCCCAGAGTCTCTGCTACTTTAGCTGCTCCTACAATCTGAGATGTTTTTACTGCATTTGTAGTTGCTCCTTGAGTCTCTGCTATTTTAGCTGCTCCTACAATCTGAGATGCTTTTTATGCTTTCTCAGCTGCTTCCTTTGCTGGACTTATGACAGGTCTGTGAAGAGCTGTCTATAAATAGCAGGAATTCAAGATCATCTTCTGCTTCTGCTGCTTCTACAACAGGTCTGTGAAGAGCTGCTCTATAAGGAGCAGTGTCTCCTGAATCAGGCTTATCTTGGTTTGCTGCTGATTTGACATCAGGTCTCTAAAGAGCTGCTCTACAAAGAGCAGGGTCTCCGAACTTATCTGATTCAGGATTATCTGATTCTGCTGCTGATTCCACATCAGGTCTGTAAAGAGCTGCTCCACAATGATCAGCGTCTCTGAACTTAGGATCATCTGGTTCTTCTGCTGACTCTTCAACAGGTCTGTGAAGAGCTGTCTATAAAGAACAGCATCTCCTGCGTTGGATCATCTTCTGCTCCTGAAGTCATAGGTCTGGCTAGATCTTCTAGCTGCTCCAGATCACCAGCAAGATTGGTTCCTTGTAAAGGTTAATCTGTAGAGCATAGGGCAGCATCTGATATCCTTGGTGATGCTGAGGATTCCGAGGATGCAAATTCATGTATAATGATGGGGAAGGAGGCTGGTGTCCTGATAGGCATGGTAAAGATACATCAGTCTGATAGCTGTCTAAAAGTGCAGGTCCCCAGGCCTTGGTTGGATGAATGGAGTCTTAGCTCTATGTCTTTCTTGTTCAAGGTTCCTGCAGGTGCACTAACTTAATTTCCAGGTTCATATTCTACCATGACTCGGAGAAAGGGGTGAGGAGTTTAGTATGAGTAACCATGCTTTAAATACTTCATTAACAGCCTTTGTGTGTTTACTTGTACACTTTTAAATTGAAAAGGCTTGTTAGAAATTAAAACTTAAAAAATAAAGTAGTCTTCAATATATTGATAATAACGCCGACCACTGTATTATAAATGTTAAAAAATAACCCGCAAACATACAAATGTGAGACTTTTAATGAAAACATATCCAATCTTTCCTCACTTTATAAGCGTAAAGGTGCAGGAGAGGTGAAGTCATTGGAATCACAAATCTGAACAAAACAGTATCTTTTTTATACTGAGTTCTGAGAACTACTGGTTCTGCATTCAAAACTGTACTCCTGACTAATATACTTGCTGCAAACCTTTCTAGTCAATTTGTACTGGATGTCAGTAGCTAGTACCATAGCTAAATTGCCATTTTCAATTTTAACTGTAGCCCTCTGGTATGGTGAAGACAACATGAGCCATCTCTATTCACATAGATTCAGCCTACTTATAAAATGACTAATCAATTTTTAAGACAGGGAGGACTTTGAAGTGTCGCAACACCTTAGGCTTTGATTTTGCTGCTGCTTTACACTTACATTATCTATTATCTATGCCTCCGATACTAGGCCCTAGTTCAGTTGGCTGACAGCAACTCAAATAACCTTAGCTAGTAGTCTAAGTGTAAAAGAACGACATAAATTCGGTCTAGAATTAAAAACTATTACTTGTACTGAAAAGTGCTTTAATATTAAGTAAGCTGCCTTTAATAGATTTTAGTTACTCTCAACATGTCTATTCTCACTACTTAAATAAAAAGACTAATAGGAACTTGTTTAACGCGGCCAGGCATCGTCTTCCACAATGTATTACAATTAATAATTGAAAGTGTCTATTCTCACCATTTTGATAAACGCAAGTCTAATACACATATGGTGTATTATGCCAAGTTATCTTAATCAAATAAGTACACTGACAGATGGAGGTACTTTGAAGTGTCAAGATTCACTAGAAGTGTTCAAATTTCACTTATGTAACTGCACTTCATTAAAAATCATCAAACAGTTCAGTTTATAATACTTATTACATTCTATCCAGTCTTAAAAAAACTTCTAGTTTTAAACAGATCTTGTATTTTTGGCCTCATTGAAGTATTAAAGTCAATTCCGCATTTGAAAGACCTCTTTAAGTTAGAAGTGAATCAAGCTTATATTAGCTCAGTCGTTTTGGTTAAGACTTTTTATCAGCAATGCATCTCAAAAGTGTTCCATGGCTATAATGGTAAGGGATGAGAATTGTTAACTAAACAATAGGAAAAACGCTTGCCTTAAGTTTCATTTTGGATTTTAAAAAACTAATAAACCTTGGTAAAAAAATATTAAGGTAACATTATTGCAATACTTGATGTGCACATTTAATTATCGCATCTGAAAACACTAAACTTGCACAAAGGTGCAAGTAACTACAGTCTCCATCTAAAAAAAATTGAACAAAAAAATTTGTGTAACTGTTACCAAACATTTACCGAGAAAACTTCAGGAAACGGTGAAAACAGACTTTTCCCGAAGAGATTAGAAAACTAACATTTCATTTTTACAACATTTTTGAACATCTCAACATATATAATTTCAAACAGAACTCACAAATAATCTATATACATACTTTGCTTGTCTGTTAGTTTGTTTGTGTCCAAAAAACGTCAAAATGGCTGAACTGATCGGGCCCAAAATACCCCAGGGAAGGTTTATGAATGTTCAAATTTAAAAAATTAGCCTCCAAACAAAATTCGATTGTTATTAATATTGAAAATCCACGAAATTCTTTTTTAAATCTGCTGATTTTTTTCAAAGAGGAAATGTTTACAATTGAAATAGAAAATGGGCTCGCGTAAGCTTGGTTTGTATAAACTTTGCTTGTCTGTTTCTGATAAACATAAAACGGCTGAAATTTTCGGGCTCAAAATTCCCTAATTTAAATAGCAACATCCGCTAAAATTGTACTGTTTCAATTTCAAATTTATGAATATTAAAGCCTGATCTCTCTCTTTCATAAGCAATATAAAGCTAAGATAAATCAACAAATTTCTGTTTTGAATAATATTCTGGATAACAAGCTAATAGAGTGGCCTTGGTAACACAATGTTTTCAAATATTTGGAAAATAATAAGTTCATATTTATGAAATACAATATCCTATAACATGGCATCCATTGCAACACACAACTGATGCATGTAATTTGTAAAAACAGGGTGCTTTACAATTTAGATTTAACTTTCGTTTTTAAAAAACAAAAGTAAAAAGTAAAGTGAAAAGTAAATAAATACTTCACTTTGACATCTTTAAGCACAGCTAAATCAACTATTGAATGTTGGGGTTTCACAAATGTAGTCGGCTAATTTTGGACCTTCAAAAACAACAAAGGCGACAAAAATTATTTTTACTGGGTTAAATCACAGCTTAGTCAAATAGGGATTGAACTGTTAAACCTGCGTGGGCCGATATCCATATTTTTGCTATAAATGAGAAGGGAAGAAACAAAAAAGTTAGACTTAAAATGCAAACTATGGTTCAATGAAATTTCAAAAGATATAATCTTTCCAAACTTTAGCTTTCCATCATCGGGATTCACCGCTTTAAAATGGTCACGTTGAAAGTGTGGAATTTTTAGAAAAATTTAATTAAATTTTAAGATAATTAATCAAAGAAGTATAGAAAAGAAAATAGAAAGAAATATTATGCTGGATAGATAAAGAATGTAATTAATATAGGTTAGGTAAACAACAACAGAACAATGAAGGTCTGAAAGTACATTTAAGAGAAACCTCGTCATTGAACAATTTAGTTTTGAACTGTTAATGTATTGTTGATATATCTTCTGTATCATCTATGTATATATAAAGTTGTAATCTCTGTTTGTTTGGTTGTATGTCCGATTTATAACTTAGGAACGCCTTGACTGATTTGTTTAAACTTTAGACTGAGGAACTCTTAATAACCAGCATGTAATGTTCTAAGCTTGGTTTGAAATGTCTAAGTTGAGTGGGTTGAATATTTTAGAAAAGTTTAGATTCCAGGCAAAGCTGGGTTTCCAAGCTAGTATTTAAATAAAGTAGTAATCTCTGCTTGTTTGTCTGTTTGTTTGGTTGTATGTCCGATCATAACTCAGGAACCCCTCAACCGATTTGCCTTAGAATTTTATCAGGGATCGGGGAACTTGGAAAAACCGCGGGATTAAAAATTATAAGCTAAGTAGTTTGGCTTTTATTGGTAAAACTTGGTTTCAATGCAGAGCTGGGTTCCCTTTTTGTATAATAAAAACAAGATATTTGTACATATGTTTGTTAACACAAATTCGAAATAAAAGGAAGACGATTTTACCGACTCAGATGCCGATGACTATTTTCAAGACATGTGATTCTATTTCCACCGGTCCGCCCACATGTCACCCTCGCTCCTTTGTTCCCCCCTCACCCTTTACACATCCCAACCCCTCAGTCAGGTTAGGAGAGTTGGGCTGGTAACAGCTCTGACACAGGGAGCCTCTTGACTCCTTCATGATGATGATACAGATACTCAGCTAACAGCAGGTGTGCGTATACCTCTGATCTCCCTACTTTCTTGAGAAGCTTACTTAGGAAACATATACCCGGCTCTGACCGAAGTTTCCGCTATCTCGAGTTGCATTGCCTTATTTTCATTGATAAGCCCTGTTGTTCCAGTTCCTGTTGATCTGCTCCACCAACATGAAGCTCTACAACACTCCCATGAAGTGCCCACAAATATTCATCATTAATTCCTTTGTTAATTTCTAAACCAACCAATTTTAACCCTGTCTTATGCAAATATTTAAAAACTTTCGTTTTTTAAATAAATGTTAGAAATATCCATTTCAGATATCTTTGTTTTATTATAGTGACTTTTAAAGTCAACAATGTTCCTTTTAGCCAGCCAAACGGCTGGGCTGAATGGGCCGATATTTTTTAGAGGGAACCCATGGGTTGAGTAGGAAGACGGCTGCTAGTCTATAGTTAAGAGTTTAGACCGTCCGAAGCAATCTCGCACCATGGTAAAACTGTTTGCTTTATAACATCTAATAACATAGAAGATTACTTTGATGTCGTCTTTATGTTCCACAGTGTTATGGGTCTCACTGTAGAGATATCATTCCACTGAAAGTTTCCTCTCTTTGTAAACTTGAGAATGTGTATTGTATGTATTGTATTGTACGTCATATGAATTCATTATTTTGCTAAAACTCAATTACAGTCATTTTAAACTAAAAGGGTGGTTTCGTCATTATACAATTAATAGAAATGCAGGTTGAGTTAAAAACCGGGAATATAGCATTGTTTTACATAAGATTATGTATTTGTTTGCAGAGTTCATACTTTAGATGGAAAAACATTAAAATATAGTAAACAAAATTCAAAAGTGTTTTGGGGACGAAGGAGAAAAAAATGTACCAAAAAATATTTATGAATTTTGTTCAGGGCATTTTAATATTTTTCAACCTAAAACATTAACTCCGTGAAACAAAGGAATTGAGTCTTTGTCACAAACCATAATTTTCAAATCTCTCTATCTTTGACACCCAATGCCGTAGACCTTAGATATTTCAAACTTTGAATTCTGTTAGATGAAAAAATCTAAGTTTGAAATATCAAAGGTTTCAACCATCATCAGGTGGAAAAATGTAGGTATTAGAAAATCAGAGTTTGCTACAAAGACTCAATTCCTTAATGTTTGTGAAAAATAACGTTAATGCCGATTTTTTAATCACCTGTATTGTTAATTAACACACAGTAGTAAACTAAAGTGGGGAAACTTACAGCGTTCTAGGTTTTTCCCTGGGAATTTCCTGAGAAATGGTTAGCAGAGAATTTTGAGGGATTTGATTTCACAATTCCGAATAATTGATCCCTTCTGCGTAATCTATAATTACATTTAATAATAAAAAACCTTCAAAAACCAGATTTAAGAAATATTTAGTATTAAACCTTAGGTCTAATTAAATGATACATTGTGGGGGTTGAAAAATGTTTATTGGTAAAACTTGTTACGGAATATATGGGAGCGTTATTACTGTGTAGTTAGTTTCTGTGGGAGGATTTAGGGAGCTTCTCTTCTGCTGATATTGACGAATCTTCAGAACATCTAGGAGCTGTCTGTAGCAGAACTGTAGACGGCTGCTTCTGTAGGGATCTGCTTGGAGCTGCAGGTGTATACGAACTTTTAGAACCTTTTTGTTAGTACAGAGTTGGTTTGGAACTCCGGAGCTGCTCAAAGATTGTTTACAACTGATGATATTATGTTTTCTAGATTTCAATGTTAGATTTAAGGCGTAGACTTAACCTTGAGTCCACGTAAAAATACACAGTGTTCACAGGATGTTCACAAAAAATACAAACATATAAATACATTCTAACTATTCATAAACGCACAAATATCAATTCTTAAAGAATCTGTTTTTGTTTGTGGATTTTACAAAAAGAAGTTTTAGTTTATGTAAACACCCAACAGAGTTCCCATATACAGAAATAATTGATTCCAACCATGATCTGACATTCTTTGTTAAAAATACGCACTTTGAACTCCGTTGCATTAGATAAACATGTTAACGTAATAATATTTTATACCTATAATAGCACAGAATCTAATGGACACTAAATCCTCATATTGTAAGACTAGCTTGGGAATCCAGCTTTGCCTGGAAACAAAGTTGTTTTTATTAGAGTCAATCAATTCAATCAAAAACTTTAAACCAAAATAAAAATACTCCCTTGGTTCTACACTCTACAGAGTTTCCCAATAAAAATTTGAGGCAAATCGGTTATGATCGGACATACAAACAAACAAAATGAGATTACTACTTTTTATATATACAGAGGGTCTCCCTGCTTCAATGACAAGTTCTATTTATCTGTATTCTGTAATATACAATAATAAAATTAAACACGCAAAGGTTTTATTAATGTGTTGCATAGATCATAAGTTTTCATCTATACTTAATTATCGCCGCTCATGGCAATTTTGTGTTTGTCAAGCAGGTGCTGAAAATGGCCTCCAATTTGGCCACCACGTTCCCCTTTCCACTGCAGCTGGTCTGTGATTATGGACTCAGTCCACCTTTTTTGCCATTTTTAAAAACTTCTAAGTATATGTCAGGCTCATACCCAACCCCAGATTTTCCATCCAATATATACACACGGATCTCATTGAGAACCTACCCTTAAATTAGTCAAATGCCTATCAATTAGTTGATTAGTTCACCCTCTATTGATAAGAATCTGTCCCCAAGTCGTTCCACACAGCTCCATACTCTCAGGCGCAGATCCAGGGGGGGGTCAAGGGGTCGACGACCCCCCTTTTTCTGGAGACTTACCTGTGTGTGTGTGTCCAGTAAATAATGAATTAAGAGAGAGAAAAAAGGAGAAATAGATAGATGGGTGGGGATGCTGGGATATAGCTCTTTAATTTTGCTTTCCAAGAATAGATCAAAACAAAGAGCTGGATCCACCCCTGCATACTCAAGGATTATCCACGATTCTTGGCCTGTTGAGAAAGGAGCATCTACATTTTTAATGGTTGGAATAGACAGAGTCTCAGAAATTGTTTGGCTGATTTTCATTTCATTTTAGCGGATTTTAATAAATTTATAGATGATTTAAGATTGCTATTTAAGCTTTTGAATATCTCTGGGTGAGGAAGGACAGAAATCCGCAAACCACTAATCTATATATAAATTTGGCTTGTCTGTTTGTTTGTCTGTTTGTATCCAATAAACGTCAAAACGGCTAAACCGATCGGGCCCAAATTTTTTGTGGGACATCACGTGACCACAGGGAAGGTTTATGAATGATCAAAATTTCAAATATTTGTCTCCATCAAAATTCGATCTTCATTAAATTTTTGAAAATTTTGAAAATCCACGAAATTTTTTGTGAAAATCATCGAATTATTTTTGTTTTGTTTTACGATGTACACAAAGAGAACATGTTCACAATTAATTTAGAAGATGGGCGCGAAGCGCCCTATAAGGCTAGTTTTGTGAAAAATTTAAATTCTTGAAAATCCGCGAATTTTTTTTTAAAAATCCGCAAAATTTTTTGTTCTTCTTCTACATTTAAATTTGGCTTGTCTGTCTGTTTGTTTGTCTGTCTGTTTCTTTGTATCCAATAAATGTAAAAACGGCTGAACCGATCGGGCCCAAATTATTTGTGAGACATCACGTGACCACAGGGAAGGTTTATGAGTGATCAAAATTTCAAATATTTGTCTCCATCAAAATTCGATCTTCATTAAATTTTTGAAAATTTGGAAAATCCACGATTTTTTGTGAAAATCCGCGAATTATTTTTGTTTTGTTTTACGATGTACACAAAGAGAACATGTTCACAATTAATTTAGAAGGTGGGCGCTTGGCTAGTCTATATGAATTTGTCTTGTCTGTCTGTTTGTTTGTTTGTCTGTTTGTTTGTATCCAATAAACGTCAAAACGGCTGAACTGATCGGGCCCAAATTTTTTGTGGGACATCACGTGACCACAGGGAAGGTTTATGAATGATAAAAATTTAAAGGTTTTTAATTTTGTAAAAAAAAAAATTCTTGAAAATCCGCAAATTTTTTTTTTTAAATCCGCAAAATTTGTTTCTTCTTTGTTTTGAAATGTAAACAAAAAGAACATGTTCACAATTTAAATAGAAGATGGGCGCGAAGCGCCCTCAAAGTCTAGAAAGAAGGGCGCGAAGCGCCTTGAATTTCTAGTTTTAAAATTAATTTGAATAGAAGCCTAGAAAGAAGGGCGCGAAGCGCCTTGAATTTCTAGTATTGTAAATACTTGCTTACTAAAACAAAAATTCTAAAATTTAGTTTTCTTTGTATTCTGGTTTGAACCATGACAAAAGTTACTAACATTATAATTATATTAAATTCAACTTTTAGAATTTAAAATTAAAACTTTTAGAAAAATAATTATTGATAATTATTTTGTTCCCGCATTTTTTTCTTTGCTTGATCAAGATTAAAAAGAGAAAAAAAGTACAATCAGTTAAAAAAATAAACAATCAGATCAAATTTCTGAATAAGTTTGCTTCAATTAAATCTTGTTTTTATTGTTCTATTTTACATTAGTGAGCCTGCTACAGCACTGCTATGAACGGAATATTCTATCTTTCCTTGATTCTATTTGGTAACTTTTTCTTTTATCATTTCAATTCAAAATATACTTTTTGTTAAATCTCGATGAAATTTTTGTTTGAAAAGTGAAGAGTGAAAGGTAGATTGATTGATAGATAAATGTATAGATAGTAATTTATTGTTCAATCAAAAAAAACAGATAAACATCCTCATCATACACAATATTTCATGAACCAATCTATATGTATATATATGTATAGATCGATAGATAGATAAATAGATAAATAGATAGACACAATGATAGATACATAAATAGATAAATAGATAGACACAATGATAGATACATAAATGAAAGGATAAATTGATGGATAGGCAGCCTAAAAAGGATGAATAAAAGGATGCATTTTGGATTGATTATTAGATGGTTAAATATATATAGATTAATTGATAACTAAGAAAGACTAAGTTCTCTTCAGATATCTAAATATTTTAATGATTTTTGGTATGGTGCGGGCCCTATTAAAGGCTCTAAATTTAACAAAGAACAATTTTTATTTTTTGACCGTTGAGTAAAAACGCATATTTGAATGGCACCAATCAATTCAAGATTTTTTTTTGGCGAAAAATTGGATTTTTCTGAAAAAAACTTCAACTTGGAAATAAGATAACTTATAAAGATGTTGAGATTTATTAGACCCGCTCAAATGAAACCTTTATGTATCTAGCAAAAAAAGATATTTTTTTACATTTACCAATAATCTTTAATGTGTAAGCTGAAACAAATGTCGTCAGTTTGGCTAATCAAAACTATAATCGACACAGGCTACTTGGACTGAAATTTGAGATTTTTTTTCTGCAAATATCTTAACAAAGACAGTAAAAAAGGGGTAGCAGAGCCTTTTTAAAATTTTTTGTTTAAAGTTCCCTTTTTAAAGGACTTTTCATAAAAGGTCGGATATATTTTCACATTTTACTCCAAAACCCTGGGAGCACTCCAAACCCCTGGGAGCAGCCACCCCTCCCTCATAGAACTAATTGATTGAATTATATACATCACTGCATATAGAAAGATGTGAAACGTACCAACATGTTTTGGTATCCCCCGAACCAGAGAGTAAAATGGAAATAAGCTTGCTAAAGAAAGCATAAATGCGAAAGAAAAATGTCTTGGTTTTAGTGGCTGAGACCTGAAACGTATTATTTCAATAATGTTTTTGCTACTCCTCTTGATTATTAGTCCTGAAACTCCTGATTTTAGAAAATATCTAAAAAGATTTTATTGAATTTGTATCTTCACAAATTAAAGCTTAAATATTTTCTTTTATAGAAACTAGAAACAATAATTAAATAAATAAATCAATGTTTGAATGACGCAGAGAGCAAGACATATTAAATCAATTTATTTTATAGATTAATTTTTTCTGTAAAATACGTTTTTCTCAATTAAATTCATTGATCCTGGTTTAGGATTTTCTTTTGGTGCGTCACAAGAAGAATTATTCTTTAATTTGTTTCTTTTGCATGATTTCAAGTTCAAAAGAAAAGTAATCATATAATATTATGAATAGAATTATATTCTTTACAGCTGTGCAAAGTGTAAGTAAAATATTCTAATATTTTAGGAAAATATTAATTGTAGCAATATATTTTCTTTTATAAAATTAACACTTTTCCTCACTTCCATTTGATAAACTAAGAGCATAAAAACATGTTTTGTATAAACTGAAATTTTCATTTAATCTTTAGATCAATGCAAGAAAACGTATGGATATATGGATTAATAAAAGTTTGAGATTAATTTCTCTGTAATCTACTAGATTAAGACTTTATTAAAGTTTAGAAGTAAGATTTACCCTATTTCCCTCCCATGCATATGGGATTAAATAAAAGATATGAACAGCAAATTATAGAAACGTTTGAAGTATTATATCTATATTATGTTTATTCATAGAAAAATATGTCTCCTTGATTCTGTGAAAACAAGATTTTTTCTTAAACGGGAGAATAATTGATGAAGAATTTATAGAAATATTTTAGAATTTTGTAAATAAATTCTTATGTTTAGTGAATGGTATCAGCGGTGGCTATGTTGATATGACAGGAGCACCAGTTGCGAATGCAACCGAAGATGCTGCTGCAAATGCAACAGCTCCTGCAGATCCAGCTGGAAATTCAACAGCACCTGCCGCTCCTACTGCTGCTAACTCAACGGTAGATGCAGCTCCTGAAGATGCTAAACCTAATAACGCAACTGCTGATGCTGCTGGAGCTGGCAATGCAACAGCTGATGCTGCTGGAGCTGCCAATAAAACAGGGAATGCTGGAGCTGCTAATGCAACAGCTGATGCTGGAGCTGGTAACGCAACAGCTGACAGTGGAGCAGCAAACGCAACATTATATGCTGGAGCCGGAGCAGATAATGCTACTGCTGATGCAGGAGGAGCAAATGCAACAGCTACTGCTGGAGGAGCAAATAAAACAGCTGATGCCGGAGCTAAAAATGCAACAACAGCTACAGCAACTAACGAAACTGATGCTGCTCCAACTGCTCCAGCTTCTCCAGCTGCTCCAGCTGCTCCTGAAGATGCTGCTGCTTCTGAGGATAGTGGTGAATCTTCTGAAGGTGCAGAATCTTCTGAAGCCGCTGAAGCAGCTGAGGCTGTGGAAGCTGCCACAGCTGCTGAAACTGGTGGGAAAGAAGCAAAGCCCAAAGGCTATGCAAGTAAAGGAAAGCATGGGAAAGCAGCTGCGAGAAGAAGACGATTTTAAACAGATTGTAGGTTAATGCACTAATGAATAAACAGAGAATGATCGAATTATCCATCACTATTTTTACTGAAGCTGGATTATTCATGTAAAACACATGCCAACTTTAGAGTTCCATCTATTAATTAAGGGGGCTGGCCGTTTTTCCCCAAGCTGATTCTGTTTCAGAACTGAGTCTTGAAAAATAATAAGCAAAAATAACTGAGGCTGCCCGTGAAATCTTTTTTTCCAGACTCGTAGATTTTTCCCACAGATCATCTCATTCATCTTGACGTGGACACAGGTAACGGGGTGGATTTTTGTTTGAAATACTGCTGTTTGAACTATTGGTCGTTTAAACTACATTTGGTCGTTTGAACTACTGACATTACGTCTCCTGTAGTTCAAATTAACACAATGCTTTATTGAATTTTTTTTTGACCATTTGAACTATTTTTTAAAACTTTATTTTTGGTCACTTGTACCATTTTTTTGGTCACTTGAACCATTTTTTGTTCATTTAAACTATGTTTTTGTTCATTTGAACTATATTTTGATCTGTTCATTCGAATATTTTTCAGCTAAAGGGTGTCCCCAAAAACATGGGAATTCAGTGACGAATTCGATATCGTCTTTGTTATGAATTGGCATTGTAATACCTAATTTCAAAAGCAATAATATTATTATGTCTGCCAGAGTTTATTTTATGAAAAGGGTAAAAGACTGTAAAGATGTGTCTATAATGTCTCCGCAAGATGAACAGTGAAGACGGACAAGTTTACTCTGTTTGTATACTGCAATTTTCTTGTTTTACTAAGTACAACCGTTTGCAGTCAAAACATAAACAATCAAATGTGAACATAGCAGACGAAACTCTTAGAGATTACAGCTTTCTCAGTAGGTATCACTTTACTAGCTAAATCAAAGAATTATTTAAAAAGACGATATTGAATTCGTACCTAAATTCCCATGTTTATTGCGACACCCTGTATGAACATATTGTTGAAATGAACATAAGAATAGTTTAAATGAGAATGAAACAAAGTCGTTTGAACCATTGGTCGTTTGAATTACTTTGCACGTGGTTCCATGTGCAGTTTATTTAGTTCAAACGACCAATATTTCAAACAAACAATAGTTCAAAGCGCAGTAGTTCGAACCAAAGTGAATAATTACTAAAGTGGAACAGACTAAGGCAACGACGACAGGTTGGATCATAAGGTTTTATTTGGTTTGGAAATAATTGCATGAATAGATTTCTTTGGAAAGTAAAGACTAAAAAAATAGATTAAGGACCCAGCTCAGCTAGAACTTCAAAATTTTCATAATCAAAAATAATTTTTTTTGTATGTTTGTATGTGTTTTTATGCAAATACTATAAAGTCGCTTAATAAATGCATTGATTTTGCCTGGCTTGCACTCTTAATTCTTCCGTACAGACCAATTTATATATATGTATTATTTTTAAGTACTTGGGACATAAAATGTCGTCTTCCACTTTACTTAATCACTTTGATTTCAAACAGGATAACAACCTTGTCAAAGGAATGTCATAAACTCACAGAGAAAAGACATTTGTTTATGTGACATATTATGTGATATCTTTTTACATTCAGAAAACTGCTGATCTGATTGGAACCAAAATTGTGCTTGAAGAAAAGGTTATCGAAATGATAGAACTGATGGCGATTTCTACATTATTTAAAAATCCATACTTGTAACCAGATAATCTGCGACCTTTTTTCAGTACAACAATAAAATTGCGGTAATCAAACTAGCAGTTAAAAGCTCCGTGCGCCCTACAAGCCATGGTTTATATTTATATTTGTCTTGTAAATTACAATCGTTTACAAATAACAAAATTTTGTTAAAAAAGAAGACGACTTTCACTTGAACCCTTTCTGGTTACTAATATACGACTATTCGAAATATACTATATCAAACACAATCAGACATTTTTTTCATGAAAATATGAATGACATTTTGAATGTTGCATTTCATATTGCTTATTTAACCCGAACTAAATTAGACAGTTACAGTGTATTACGTACTGGCATTATCAATTCTTTGATAATTATGTCTTCTCTTGAATAGTCTCATGGTCGGTGTTTATTTCAATACAATGAAGATGACTTGTATAATTAAGTTTTGATTTCTAACAACCTTTTTCGAATTATACACGTTTATAAGTAAATGAATAGAAGTTGTTAAATGACAGTTTCTCTTTGTTTCCATGTTTTTGTGCATCCAGGCTGTTTGAAAGCTTCACGGTTAGTACCAAAAGAGTGTGTGTAAGTGATAACAAACCAAAGGTGTGTACTGTGTCTATAGTACATAAGAATCTCGGTATTTGTACAGTCTAGGAGAGTACATTTATTTATTGTTAATTGTTTACTTAAAAATAAGTTTAATATACATGTAATATATTATTTATATATTTAAGTCAACACTATAAGCAACATTTGTATGCAAAGAATGTAATTTTGATTAAAGTTTACAATAAACTACTCGTTATTCAAGTTTAATTATAACTGACGACATTGTTCTGTAATTTCCTTGTTGTGTGTCTGTACCAAAAGAGTGTGGTGTGTGTGCTAAAAATTTCAACCAGCCATGGAAACCAGTACAGTACAAATACAGACTATATATGGCTAAATGGGCCTGTACGGCAAATGAATGATCCCAGCTTAGTAAAATTTATGCGGCTTATTAGAAATAAAAAATTGAAATCGAAAGTCGTCTTAATTGTATAGATAAATTCGACGACGACTGTAGTATTCTAACCCAATGCAATTCCGTAGTACTTTTTAGCCCCAAAATCCTCAACTTCTGTTAATTTAAAGTAATAAATATTACTATCTCTCCCTCCTTCCCCTCTCCCCTCTTAAATATGCTATTTTAAGACATATATGAGTGGTTGAGCTCAAAAGGGGCCTCGAGGTAGGTTTAAGGTTGGTAATCCCATGCACTGAAGAGTTGATAATGCTCGAAAGCTGGTTGATGTCCTCTTTCTCCACTACTAATCCATAGTCGACAGTGCACTATGAAGCTTATTTCTAATCGAAAATAAGTACGGGTTAACAATAAATCGTTTAAATATTTAATTGTGAACAATATTTGATTTTTAAAGTTTCTTACTATTTGCTGGTAGAGGCAGAAATTAAGGGGTCTAGTGATCAGAATAAAACGATTATTACTTCTGAAAAAATGAATATCCGTTTGGTTACAAAGATTTGTTTATTATAGCAATAATCACGGATTTTAAACATTTACTGTATTAAAACCTTGTTTCACTTTTCACGAGTTGCGTCTGTTTGTCGGAGAAAAATGTTGGGTTTGGCTCCGGGGTATGATTTGGGTTAAGACGACATTTTACGGAGAAAGGTTGTAGGTTTATAGTCTACATGAGGTAATGTTACATCGTTTATACGCAACTCCGTACTGAACTTCCGACCAACTAACTTTCCGACCTACGGCAATATTATTTGAGGGTTAGGTTAGGCTAAGACCATTTCTGGGCCGAGCGCTGCGGCTAGGACAGGCTAGGGGGCCGAGCGCCGCGGCTAGGACAGGCTAGGGGGCCGGGCGCTGCGGCCAGAAGTCCATACAGCAGCTGTAAAACCACGTGCTAGTAGGTCGGATGTGTAGTATAGCGGATTTGGCGTAGGTCAGAAGTGGAGTATAGCGGATTTGCGTAGGTCGAAAAATACACCACCCTACATGAGGAACATGAGTATAGTAACTATAGTAGTAAGTATTCTAGCAAACTAAAATAAAATAGTTAAATGTTTAGATTTAGATAAATGGAAGCGTACTTATTTAGATTATTTCTGGCGAAAACCTTATGCCTCATAAATAAACAGGGTTACTCTCAAAGGATAAGACTTAAGCGACGACTGACAGGAATTAATTTTGTATGTTTTTTATTTATGATTCTCTGCAATAATGTACTTTTTCCCCTTCTTTGACAAATCATTGGATAAGCCATTAAAAGATTAAATTTAAGCAGAAAACTTAATTGAAACTGGCATCGTAATATCATATATATCGTCGTTTTTACATTCTCATCCTTTGTGGGTGACCCTGTATGCTTCATAAGACGTCTAATTAGATAAATATAAATTCCGTTGAGGAAAGTTGAAATAATGTATCAGCATTTCATTGAAATGCTGTTCTAGTTCTAATAGGCCCAGATCAGAACAAATCTGTTCTACACAGATAGAATAAGAGGTCTAGAGTATAATTCAAAGATTGTATAGATTACACAGATAGAACAAGAGAACTAGAGTAGAATTCAAGGATTGTATAGATTACACAGATAGAACAAGAGGCCTAGAGTAGAATTCAAGGATTGTATAGATTACACAGATAGAACAAGAGAACTAGGAGTAGAATTCAAGGAGTGTATAGATTACACAGATAGAACAAGAGGTCTAGAGTAGAATTTAGGGATTGTATAGATTGCACAGAAAGAACAAGAGGTCTGGAGTAGAATTCAGGGATAGTATAGATTACACAGATAAAACAAGAGGTCTAGAGTAGAATTCAAGGATTGTATAGATTACGCAGATAGAACAAGAGGTCTAGAGTAGAATTCAAGGATTGTATAGATTACACAGATAGAAAAAGAGGTATAGAGTAGAATTCAAGGATTGTATAGATTACACAGATAGAACAAGAGGTCTAGGAGTAGAATTCAAGGATTGTATAGATTACACAGATAGAACAAGAGGTTTAGAAGAGAATTCAGTGATAGTATAGATTACACAGATAAAAGAAGAGGTCTAGGAGTATATTGAATTATGAAAACGACTTTGTACCCCCATAACTCCATATCTAGTTTTGAATTTAATCCTAAAAATTAAAGGAGCTAACTTGTTTGCATATTTTAAAACTTTTAACACATGTATATTTTCAAATCAGTAGTTTTCAGAATTAGAAAACCTGAATTATATTTATAAACGATTTAATTCAAAAATGTAATAAAAAATAAGCTATGCGTAATCCACCACAATTTATAGGAAACATCAATGCCCTGCCATAAACTGATTTTACTTATACTTGTTTGTTTTTC